AGACGATTACGGTGGCTCCCGGCGGCGAGGAGGTGGTGGCCGAGGGTGCTCTCGTCCTTGCGTGGCCGAGGGAGGCGACGGCGTACCGCGAGGAGGTCGGGAACGGCGGGAATCAGCGATCGGAGGCAGCAAATGAGGTGGCGACCTCGGATCGATGGCGAAAGTGGTGCTCCGGCGGTGGACTGGGCAAACAAAGTGGCGGCCGGCCTTGCTCTTGCGACGGCGAAGTCAATGGCGCAAGCGGCAAGTCACGGTGGAGGTTGAAGCGGCGGTGGCGGGCTACTGAGGCAGCGAACGGCGGTGGTGGCTCGGGTACGCGGTGCAGAGGTGGTTCCGACAGGGATACAGGGAGGCAGAGCAGATGCCGAGGTGTGGCTCGGCGTGGCGGAGCCGATGGTGGCAGTGGCACGGCGCGGCGATGGCCAAGGCGGCGGGAGGCGGCGGCTGGAGCACGCCGGTGAGCGGCGGCGTGTGGGGAGAGCGAGGGAGTGCACGGCAAGCTCAGGAAGGAGGGGGAAACTCGAGAGGAGGGCACGGGGATGGTTTTTATGGGCGCGGTGGATGGAGATCGAGGCCGGGAGGGGCGGAATCGCTGGTCGGAGTGGGGGAGCGGCGTGGGATCATGGGGGAGTTGGCGGCCAGTTTTTGCGAGCGTGAAAGGGGGATAAGAGCGGAGACGTGGGCGGCTAGGTCCCACGGACGAGCGCGTGCGCGAGGAGTGGAGGAGGTGGGTGGAAACAGCGGCGTCGTGGGGTGGAACCGGCGCCCATGGCAGTTGCCGGCGGGGCGGTTCATCGGGTCCCACCTGTCAGAGAGAGGGAGTGAGAAGGCTGGGGGTATGTGGACTTTGGAGGGAAAGGGAGCGAACGGGTCAAGCGGCCCAAGGAGGAGAGGGGAGGGAGGCGGCTGGGCCGGAGGGGAAAGAAGGAGGGAGGGGAGGATTTTCGCCCGAGCCCGAAAGGGAGGAAGGGGATTTTAATTTTGTTTTCTTTTTATTTAATTGATTAAATGATCTTTGTACTATTAAAATTATTTCTTGAGCTCCGAAAATTCGCGGAAAAATCCGGAGTGTATTTTAGGACACAAAGAATATTACTAAATATTCCTGGCTAATGATTTTTAATGGAAATTTTAATTTTCTCTAATTTCCTCCCAATAATTCACTTGATTAAATTGATTTAACTTTTATTTAATTTCTAGAAAATATATTATTTAATGAATTTTAACCCCGAACGAAAATCGAGGCGTTACAAGCCCCCCATGTCGGGACACCGGCGTCTGCGGTGGGAACCCGGTGGATGGTAGCCCGTGGACCTCGGCGCCGTGAGGAGCGGCGGGCTCCGGCGCCTGACGCGGATGACCGCAGGGCAGCGTCGGTGACCCGACGATGACCCGCGCCACGCACGAAGGTTGTGGAAGAGCACGAGCCACTGCTGGCAGCGACCCGAGATGGGGATGAGGAGGCGTGCTGGCGGCGGAGGGTGGAGTTGCCGGGGCGCGAAGGAGATCCAGCGCCCGCCGGCGGCAGCCAAGGTAGAGGAGCTCGGGGCCGGCCGGTGGAGCGGCACGCGCCGGCGAGGGGCCCATCCCCCCGGCGGCGAGGTCGATGCAACGGTGCTAGGCCATGGAGGTAGATGCGATCTGCTAGGCCATGGAGGTCGACGCGATGGTGCTAGGCCATGAAGTGAAGATGACGAAAACGCCTGAGGAGATCGATCTCCTCTAGGACGACGACGACAGCGATGTACACTCGACGAAGGAGGCCGCGGCCGAGGAGATCAAAATCGATCCCGTCGATGAAGCATAACAACTTGAAGGAAAAGAAAAGAAAAGGGTGGCCGCCCCCGGGAGCGATCTCGCTCCCGGGAGCGATCTCGCTCCCGGGGGCGACGGCAGCGGAGGCGGTCTAATACCATATTGGATAGTATAGGAGAGATATACTGTGTAATATGGATTGATTATAATGAGCTTCAGGGGCCGGTATATATAGGAATACATGAGGAAGAGATAAGGAAGGATTACAGATATGGAAGGAGTCCACACAAATCAATCCTATCCTAATATGACTCTAACTACCATATACTCTAACTATCCTAATATGACTCTAACTACCATATACTCTAACACAAACCTTAGCATGGCAATGGCACCGCCATCGCGAGCTAACGGCGGCGACTACCCCGTCGTCGCAGTGTCCAACGACGGCGTCCTGATGGTCGATCTGCTCCACTAGGTCCTGCTATGCCTCCCAGCGAGGCCGCTCTGCCGCCTCCATGCCGTGTGCCGGCCGTGGCGCGCCCTGCTGTCTCGCGACCCGGTCTTCGCCGCCGCCCACGCAGCGAGGCACCCGGCCCCGCACCTCGCCGTCGCCGTCCGCGGCCGGCTCAACTCCTATGGGAGGGAGCTGGTGGACGTCTACGTCGTGGACGCGTCCTCCGGCGACATCGTGAAGAGGGCCTGCGCCGGGAGGTGCGACCGGCCGGCCGAGGTGTCCACGCACGGCGGCGTGGCTCTCCTCGTCGACAACAACCAGCTGCTCCGCGTGCTCGACCCGGTGTCCGGCGCCGTCCCCGTCGTCCCCGACTACAAGATCAGCCACCCCACCAAGTACTAGGTCACGCTCGCGCGGATCGCATCGACGGGGGAGTACAAGGTGATGCACATCACCAAGGATGGGGAGCTGAAGCACGGCGAGCAGCAGGCCTGCTCGGTCCTCACCCTCGCCTGCGACAGCGTCAACGGCGGCCGCCTCGCGCTGTGGAGGGAGGTACGGCCGAGCCAGCCTTACACCGTCAGCACGTCACGCAGGTTCGCGGCCGTCGTCGGCGGGGTCGCCTACTTCGTGCTGCTCTATGAATACAGGCTATGGAGGAGAGACTGGATCGCGGCGTTTGACCTTGAGGCGGAGCAATGGCGACCGGACCTCGTCGGTGGCCCGCCGGAGACCACGATGACCCCTGGGACGTCACCGTCACCCTTGCCGAGCTGAGGGGCACCTTGGTGGTGGCCCACGACGACCACCGAGCTGGCGTCCTGGACCTATGGTTCCTCCTCGCCGGCGACGGCGACGGCGGCAAGGTTGGGCCGCAGCATTGGACGAAGCTGTACACGGTGACCATGCCATACCACGCCCTCGGGCTGCCGTTGCCGTGGGACGCGGAAAGCGCGGAGCCGGCGGTGGTGCTCGTCGACGACGGGAGGGTCGTCTTCTGGGTGTGGGCCAACGGCAGTTCAGAGCACGGCCGCGGCGTGATTCGGGTGTACGATCCGGCCACCGGCGGTCAAACAGACGTGGCGGCGATGGTGGGTGCCGTCCATGTCGGCGTGTACACGGGAAGCCTGCTGCTGCCTCTACTGAAGTGGGAGTTGAGGGATGGGGTTTTCATCTCTCGAGCAGATTATCCCTGGTTTCTTCACGGCATGGCCAACGCAAGGGTTACCCTCAATTGCAATCTAGGATGGGGCAACACCCAAAAAGCTAATTTATTTCGGGTGGCAGTCTCGTATTTTTTATTTCAGCCCCTGGTTTGTTTTTTTGTTTTATTCCTCACAATTTTTCAATTTATATAGAAATCCAAATTTTATATTAAACACCCTAAAATCTAGAAATTAATATAAAATCTCTCCTCCCTCCCTCTTTTCCCCACCGACACCCCAATCCCCTTCTTACGTCATCCCACTTCACCAGCCGAACTCTTCACTCTCTCTAGCTCGAGCTCTCCTCCCCTCCTCAGCGGCGTCTCTCCCCTCTTCTCCCCTCCCAGCGGCGCCTCTCCGCTCCTTGGCGCCGGATCGAGGCACGGCGGCGGCAGATCGAGTGGTGGAGGCGGATCGAGGCGTGGCGGCGCCCCATCTTCTTCTCCCCCCGCCTACCTCCTCGTCTTCTTCACCCTTGGCGTGGAGGTAGTTGATTGCAATGTCCCTGGGCTACGGTACGGAGCGATGCCTCTCCCCAATGCGGTTCCTCACCCGTTCCTCGCCAAAAGTTGAGGAAATTATGCGACGCTCTGCAGAGGGTTGCAACGCTTTGCGAGGGCACGATCCCGGCCGAGCTGGTGCGAATATTCGCGTCGGGAATGGTGAGACCACGCTCTAGTGTGGAGCGTTGGCCATGGCCTTACATGTCACATAAATAATCATTAACAAATTATAAAATTAGTACGATACTCCCTCCGTCTCAAAATAAATGTAGTTTTGCACTGTTCATGTCCAACGTTTGACCATTTGCCTTATTTAAAATTTTTTATGATTAGTATTTTTTATTAGATGATAAAACATGAATTGGACTTTATATGTGACTTTTTTTTTAACTTTTTCATAATTTTTTTAAATAAGACGGACGGTCAAACGTTGGATACGGATTCCCACGGCTGCACTTATTTTGGGATGGAGGTGATAAATTAGTATGAAACATATCACTTCACGAATATACAAGTTCAAATTTAACAAGTTATAATAAAAATACCAAATCCTCGCCACCTCTACTACCGTTCCCCCACATAAGTATTTTTTGTTTGACAATATGAAAAAAAATAGTAATGGTGATAGGTAGGCAAAGGGTATTAAAGAAATAAAATTTATCGTTTTATATGTTAAGGGTAGATATGATATTGAAGTTGATTTTTTTATAGGACGAAATTCAAATTTAGAAATTGAGTTTTTGGGTGGAGGGAGTATACAGGAAGTACATAAAAAAATCAGTTAACAATATATTAAAAGTTATAAATTATATATTCTTTTCTTTCTAAAATAAATCTAGTACACAAATCCTGTATACTTAAATTTGGAATGGAGCGAGTACCGTATGTGCAAGAACCTTGTGAACCTCGTAGTTCGGGGACATGTGGCCTGCATGTCAGGATGCAAAACGGACGGTGGATGCGAGGGGCGGCCGGGTCAAAGCACCTCCCCACCGCCCACCCCGCTGCCCTCGTAACTCGCGCCTCCCCACTCTTCTCGGCCCATCGTCCCGATCTGCGCCCTTCCCCTTGCAAAACCCCCCCTTCCTCGATCAAACCACTCTCCCCTCCCCTCTCCTACTCCGCCACCTTCGCCCTTCTAGAACCTTCCCGCGTCCGCCAATGGCGACCTGCTCGTGGGCCGCCACCACGGCGGCGGCGGCGCCCCCCCGCCCGCCCGCCAGGTGCCGCTCGCGCGTCGCCGCGCTCCGCCGCACGGCCGCCGCCTCCGCCGCCGCCGCCAGCTGCGTCCTCGCCGAAGCGCCCAAGGGGCTCAAGGTAGGTGGCTGGCTAGCTCCGTGTTCGCGCGTGCGCGCGTGCGTGCGTGTTGGGATTGCGTGAGCTGATCTCCTGTGCGTTGGGTGCGGATTCATTGGTTTGGTTTTGTGTTTTGGTGTGCCAAGGTGGAGCAGGCGGATGCGGTCGAGCCAGCGGCGGCGGCGGCGGCGCGGAGGGACGTGGGGCCGGACACGGTGGCGTCCATCATCCTCGGCGGCGGCGCCGGCACGCGCCTCTTCCCTCTCACGCGGACCAGGGCCAAGCCCGCGGTAATCAAATCACATTATCCTTTCTTTACAGTGTTTACACGCACATTTCGTCATGCATTTGATAAGCATTTCATTGGTTGTGTGCAATAGTGGGGATTTCGGTTGCTATTGACACCATTGACTATTGGTTGATTGAATCGTGAGATGCTTACATCATTAGTGATTGAGCTGTATGTTCTTGGTACGTCAGGTGCCTGTTGGGGGATGTTACAGGCTGATCGATATCCCGATGAGCAACTGCATAAACAGCAAGATCAACAAGATCTACGTTCTCACCCAGTTCAACTCCCAGTCTCTCAACCGTCACATCGCGCGCACTTATAACATTGGCGAGGGGGTTGGATTTGGTGATGGCTTTGTGGAGGTAAGATTAGTGTTTGTTATGAGGTGAAATCGAGTGGAAACATGCAGCTGTGGCAATGGGTCGGTGATCTCTAATTGATAATGTTCTACGGTGGTTTGTTTTGATTGTTGGGTAGGTGCTGGCAGCTACCCAGACAACAGGGGAATCAGGAAAGCGATGGTTCCAGGGAACAGCCGATGCTGTCAGGCAGTTCCTGTGGCTATTTGAGGTTTGTCTAGTGTCATCTCATGATATTGTACTCTTATCACGGGATGTTATCGCTTTCCCAGTTTTAACTTGCCTGATTTTTTTACAAGGATGCAAGGCTCAAACGCATAGAGAACATACTAATTCTATCTGGTGATCATCTGTATAGGATGGATTATATGGACTTTGTCCAGGTGAACTTCATGTTGATATTCTAGAGCAAAGATTATTTTTGCACTTTATTTGAGTATTGTAAAAAAAAAAAATCTAAATGATGAGTTGTTTTGCAGAAGCATGTTGACAAAGGTGCTGATATTTCAGTCGCTTGTGTTCCTGTGGATGAGAGGTTATTCATAATTGCCCTATCTGAATCGTTTTCTTTTTTTTAATCTGTCTTTATTCTAGCTAGTTAGCAGGACTGTACATGCTGTAATTCTTCACAGTTTTAGAAGTTTACTTTTTGTCACGCTAATCATCAATATTACTTGTGAATATCATAATATTGTATTGCAAATTAACAAGTAGACAATACACGTGGATTTCCATATTTAATTGATGGGTCAGATGATGACATACACCTCTCATATTTTTTTAAAATTTGTGTCATCTACTTGCAGTCGAGCTTCTGATTTTGGATTGATGAAGACTGACAAGAATGGACGCATTACTGATTTTCTCGAAAAGCCCAAGGATGAAAGCTTGAAATCAATGGTATATGCCTCTTCACTGAATCAAAGACAAATGAATACTAAAAATTATTTGTTTACACATGTTTAAACTGAATTGTTACCTGAAAAAGGTGTAAAATGAATGCATTCCATCACCTTTAATTGCATATGTTAAATCATCCACGGTTTTATTCACAAGGCTTTTGTTTTGCTTTTGTGAATGTTATCTAGATTATTGGAGATTTGTTCTTTATTTCTTTATCATTAGCTCAATTTCCTTGATTTATTGGCTCTAACGAATAAGTTTTTAAATAATCTAAGATATTTATTAATGCAGCAACTAGATATGGGAACTTTTGGTTTGCGCCCAGAAGTTGCAGATACATGCAAATACATGGCTTCAATGGGAATATATGTATTCAGGACTGATATCTTGTTAAGACTTCTAAGGTAAATGCTAATGATTAAGACTAAGGTAAATTCTAATGATAATATCTCATGAGCAATGCTTTCCTTAATCTTGGAAACTAGGTTTGCATGATAAATAAATGTTCCAGTTGCATTGTAGTTTTATCTTCTATATCAAGCATTTGGTTTCTGTAACTTTATTTTCTGATGCATGGCAAAGTCAAATGTGCAAAAATAACAAATGGTTTGTTATATATGATAAGACATACTGTTGGTTTTATTTGCTGAGATAGCATTCCTGGGATTGTCTGCACTCCTTGGTTCTTATTTTTCTTGCCAGTTTGAGGTATGCTGATACTCTTTCTCTTTGTTCTGTATCTTTTAGAGGACATTATCCTACAGCGAATGATTTTGGGTCAGAAGTTATCCCAATGGCTGCAAAAGACTACAATGTGCAGGTATTTACAACTTCATAATCCTTCAAACTGTATGTACGCAAGAAATTCCATTGTCATAAATCAACCGTTAGAAATTCTTCAAATCCCAAAATGAGCATGTGATCTTACTTTTCACAAAACCCTGAATATGAATGCAATATTCCTTGTTCTGTGGTGACAGGCCTATCTATTTGATGGTTACTGGGAAGATATTGGGACAATAAAGTCATTCTTTGAGGCAAATCTTGCTCTCACAGATCAGGTTTACTTTTTTAGTTAACATCATCTCCATCTATATCTTTATGTGCGTGGACAATTTATCTAAATTCAGTTATCTTCTTTGTAGTCGCCAAACTTCTATTTTTATGATCCTGTGAAGCCCATATTCACATCTCCTAGATTTTTACCTCCAACGAAAGTAGAAAACTGCAAGGTCAGATTCTCTTAGAGATGGTTTCTTTGGTTATACCTTCAGTAGCAGCTTTTTTTGATCTAACCATTTACGTGCAGGTTCTGAACTCTATAGTTTCCCATGGGTGCTTTCTAACAGAATGTAGTGTTGATCGCTCTGTTATTGGTGTCCGTTCAAGATTAGAACCGGGGGTGCAGCTGAAGGTGAATTGTTGAATACTCATAATTCAATGTACTTGACAGTTATTTGGAACTCATAAGTTTGCCATTCAAATAATTGAGGCAGAGATGGATGAAAGCATACCAATACAGAATCTTAGGAACTAAGCCTGCACGAACAATCTTCGGAAATTGTATTTAAAGAGAAAATACTGTTTCCCAAATCCCAATGCTAGATAAACCAGAGATAAATTAGTCTTTTTTCTAATATTTTGGCCATTTGGATACAATCCATTTATTTTAGCTTCTATTATCATTAACATTATTAGAACCACAGGAAACAGGTTGCAAGTTCCATTTATTTTCCCTTGATCACAGTGTTCTCTTTTTTTCTTCAATACCTGCATTTACTGCAGTCTCGCCATGTCCTATTGATGCCATGCGAGTTTTTTCCCCTAGTTTTGTTGGCATTTATGCCCTTAACCATGAAAGATTTGCACATAGTTTTTAAACCACAGAAAGTACATTTAGTCATACCAACTTATGCTGAAGCAATCACTAAGTACCCTACATGTTGGTAATGGTCTAATGGATTTTTTTTTTCATTTTTATTGAACAATGGATGTTTAATTATTTCAATATCGTTAACAAAAAGAAAATCAACTGGGTATAGGACACCATGATGATGGGGGCAGATTACTATCAGACTGAAGCTGAGAGATTTTCTGAATTGTCTGATGGAAAAGTACCAGTTGGCGTTGGAGAAAACACCATAATAAGGTCAGTATGAGCAATGATGCATATATGTATTTGGTAACTTGCCTGTTATGTAATGCTAAGTTTTGACATACAGGAACTGTATCATCGACAAGAATGCTCGAATTGGAAAGAATGTAATGATTATGAACTCACAGGTATGACCCCCATGCATAAGACTATTTCTTAGTATCATTGTCTAGGAGAGCCTTCTGGATTCTTCTTTGCAATGATCTTTATAACATTTGCAAGCTCATTTCCACAACCGTTTAGTGAAGATAAGATGACTCCATTAAATTCATTCACTTCATTGAGCATGTTGGTTTTATGGAATTCGAAATTTGTAACAAGTATGTATCGCAGGAGCAAGGAAAAAATGCACTTTTTGGAAAGGTAGCAAAGTATGTATTAGTGTTAATGTCTACTTAGAGAAAAAAAAAGCCTCATATCTCCTTAGATAAGAATGGTGGGAGGAAAATTCATTCAATCTACTAAAGCGCTCTTTCAACCTATTTGGCCTTCATTGCACATAGTTCATCGTAGCAGCTTTTGCAACTTGCTTGTCTATGCTATTAAATATATATGCAGTTTTTCTTTAGTCATTAAGTTTACAGTTCAAATGCTGAGACCTAAGAGTTTTCCCTTGCTTGTGTGAATGCAGAATGTGCAAGAAGCAGAGAGACCATTAGAGGGTTTCTACATTCGTTCTGGGATAACGGTAGTGCTTAAAAATGCGGTGATTCCAGATGGTACAGTTATCTAGAGAATCACCAAAGGAAATATTTGCAGGTGAGTTTCTCCAAATGCTTTATTCAATTAGGATTATAAAAATATCAGTTCGATTGGACAAAAGCGCACCATTCTGAAGTTTGGTAGACAAGAAATGCTCCTCGTAAATGTTGGTATCAATAAACAAGAATATATACGCACACAATAAACAAAAAAAAATTCCAAAGCTGTTTATTGTTTACAACACCTGAATTGCCTATGTGGTACGGTATTTTCTTCTGCAAACTAACAAGATGCATAATCATTTTGATATTGATAGCTGGAAGGATATTATAGATGTCCAACTACTCCATATACATGTTACATGGCTTATAATAGAAAAGTTCTGCCACTAAGCTTAGCATAGATATTGTGGATGTTCATTCTAGAAAGTTTCTTTATCTTGTTTATGACTCCTTTGTGAGGACAGTAACATATTCTTTTGATAGGAGTTTAACGACAGCTACCATATTCTCAATAACCTCCCACACACTGCATAGTAGATTTATTGTCCCAAAAACAATTTCACGGTATTTGGTGTGACATGGAATTTAGATACTATGACTTGGATGACTGTTCAAAATTTCAAATAACTCAGAACTTAGGTCTGATATGTCGGTCATATCTGGATCTGTAGTACCGTGAGATATGGCATGAGCACGAGTTTATTTGTAGCTCTCAGATCTAGAATGTCCAAACATCAACTTTCATAAAATTAGTTGATCCGAGGTGTGTTTATGGTTTTTTTTCTTTTTGTGAGAGGAGGTGTGTTTATGGTTATTACATGGATTTCCAACTTCAATCATGACTGAGTTTTTGTTAACTTCTCGGGGTTGGCCTTTTCTTTTTTTAGTCTGTGCATGAACAAAGAAAGACATTAAAATTAAGTTACCAAATAGTTTTTGTCATTGTAGTATGTACAGGACTTTGTCAGGATCCATTACCAACTTACTGGATGTGTAGCATCATCTATTGCTTTTAAATACAAATCTTGCTACTTGCAGATATCAATCCCTTCTGGTTTGTTGCATTTGAAGTACATCTTTGAAACTCATAAGGGGATCTGAGTTCGACCTTCAACGTCGATGCAGCAAATAAACTTAATACAGTGCAAAGGTTGCCAGCTTATGAATGAGGCTAGGAACTGAGGGATATATCACCTGCATCGGCATGGCAAGAACGTTTTGGTTCTTTCGTAAGCGTCAAAAGCAATATATCAAGAACTTCTGCCATGCACATGAATACAGGATATATATAATACTTAGAAATATTTCATGTCGGTAATTGTATATGCATGTAGAAGCGAGAGGGTATAATCTGTTGTGAGTTAAATGTGATTACATTGAGTAATAATAATTACTTGTAGAAGAAGTACATTTCTGTCACGTTGTAGGGTTTATCTTGTACCGCAAAAAATCACTGACTGTTGCTTATCCATGAATTAACTTCCTCTGATGTATATTTATATTTGTGAATTATCAAGAGATCGAAATAAATACTGTACTACTCTTTGATTGATGAAACATATCACATGAGAAGTAGAGAAGTAATCGCATCATGGATCAGAATCAACAAAGTGGTATGTATGTTTGCGAGCCCTTAAATCAGATTATCAGAATCAAGTCATGGAGCTTTCTTCTTCAGACAGTAGCAGATATGAGTTCGGCGTCTACTCTTTCTTGGAGAAGAGCCCGCCAAAGCTGAACCCGCCGTCGCCGTCGCCGTCGCCGGCCGCCTTCTTGGCCGGAGCGCCGCTGGCCTTGGTGGCCCTGGACGCGGCGGCGGGGGCCTTCTCCTCGACCTTGTTGAGGATGGGGTCGGTCTCCAGCAGCTGCTCCTCCTTGTACAGCGCGCCGAAGATGGCGTCGAAGAGGCCCTTCTCCTCCGTCGCCGCCGCCGCCGTGACGCTCTTCGTCGCCGACGGCCGCGCCACGCGTGCGGACGGCGGCGGCGGCGCCGCCGCCCGACGGTGGCTCAGGCGTCTCCCGGCGGCCACCGCCGGCGCCACCGTGGTGCCGAAACCAACCGACGCCATCGCTAGCTTTTGTGTGCCTACGTGATGTGTGTGCGCCTGTGAAGCGTGGGCGTGTGCACGGTCACTTCTTTTTTTTGTGGTGCGTTTTGAGCTCTCGTGGGTCTTGAGAGGGTCAGGAGGGTTGAGGCGGCCACAAACGGCTTATCCACATGACTGGGTACGTGAGCACGTCGGCACAGACACAGATACCTAATGATTAGAAATTGATTATTGCCACGTAGTCGTTGCCACTTTTCTGCATGCAAAACGATGGTTTCTAATGGCAAAAAGAGCATTAGAAAGGAACCTTAGTAGAGCAGGTACAATAACAAGCTATAAGCCAGTTATAATCATATTTTAAAGAGATAAAAGAAGAGAGAGAAGAGCAGTGAGCTATAGATTTGTAGCCAGCTACAGCACGGATTCCAAGACGTAATATGTGTATGACATGTGGGACCAACTATTACTAATATATTAAGCAACTATTGTATGAATTGACTATTACATTGGCTATAGAAGATTTGGAGCTAGTAGTGGGCTATACTATTAAACTTGCTCTTAGACCATCCTCAACCCTGCATGTTATCTAGTGTCCATAATATTAAATACATTGTCACATAAGAAAAAAAAATATATGATGTGGCAAAAGAATTAATGATGAGAGGGGTAAAAAGATGATGAAACCATTTCTCATGCAAGAAACCATATGTACAAAAGAACCAAAAATGACAACAGGGGATATGTGGATTAAAGGAGATTTGAGAGATGATTGGATGAAAATTTAATTTGAAGATACCATCCATTGGAGATATAGTTTCTATACATAGTGACTATATGACATGGTAAGTATGGAAATTAATAGATAGTTTTCGGGTTGGGATGGCCTTACCATTCCTCTATTGGCATCACCATGATCTGGTTCTTCCTTGAGATGGATCAGATTTTTTAGTATTGCGGGGGGTAAATAGGTAAATGATGGAATATGTATTGATGTCGAATTGAAATATTGTATGATATTTATAAGAACGATATAAATTGGTGGTACTGCCTATTGATTTTTTTTTGCAAACTGTTGGAAAATAAATTAGTGTGCTGATGCACATGTTTAAATTTGGGAGAGAAGTTGGAAGTGAGCAGGAGAGTGTCACGTCCCAAAACGACCCTAAAATATATTCTTTAAATTATACCTAGAATAATTAAAATCCTAGTGAAAACCTCCAAAAATTAAAATGTGCAAAGTTAAAAGTCAAATAAGGCTTGGAGGATTTTTTTTAAATTTCCTAAAAGCCTAAAAATGTGTAAATAAATTTTAGTGGAATTTTCAGAGCACAAATAATAATTATCAAGAAATAAACAAAGTTGAAAAGGTTTTATAAAAAGAAAACCCTAAAACCCTCCCCCTCTCTCTTGGGCCGAATTCGGCCCAATTCCCTCCCTCTCTCTCCTCTCCCCGTGGCCCACTCGGCCTCCCTCCCCCCGCGCCTAGCGCCGCCGCCGTCGCCAAATCTGCCGCGCTCCGCCGCTCCCGTTCAAAATTGAAGGGGGGAAATATTCCCCCCTGATTCCCTCTCCCTTTCCCCCCATTTTTCCCCTCTCTCTCTCTCTCGTTATTTCGGATGGAAGCCCCCCTAATCTCGCCGGCGCCATTAATGGCGGCTGGGTCTCCCGCTCCGGTTTCCTTCCCCTCCGGCCGCCCTCTCTCACTCCCAACCCTATATTACCCTCCCCGAGCTCCCCACCACCGTTTCCGCTACTCGCCGCCCCTTCTCCCCGCCGGAATCGAGCTCGCGTCGTCGCTCTCTCTCTCCGCCGTCGCCGCCGAGCTCCGGTCCGCCGCCGTCGTCGCCCCGGACCACCTCCCACCTCGGCGCTGCCTCCTTCGGTTTCGCCGCGACCTCGCCGACATCGTCCACCCCTCTATTTCGGTCGCCGACCGCCGGAATGCCGCCGACCCCGTCAACCCGAGCCGCGCCACCGCCTCCCTCCGCTCCGGCCGCCTCCTCCGTCGCCGCCGTCGCCTCGGGGTGAGCCGTGGAGTGCCGCCTCCTTTCCCCCTTCCCTCCCCTCTCTCGGCCACCGCTCCGCCGCGCCAGTGGTTGCCGGCGGCGACCATCGGGGCGCGGACGCCGCCTCCTGCCGGCCGCGACGACGTGGCCGCGTCCGGGCGCGCCATGTGGCCCGGCCATCAGCCGCCCGTGGACCGAGGGGCTGCCGCGTGGGGCCCACCACTCTCGTGGACCCGGTCCGCACGCACGCCTCCCCTCGACTGGCGCAATAATCGTTTTAAATTCAAAAGTAATTGAAGGAAATTGTAAATATTCACCTAAAGAGCATATAATCTTCAAATGGCCATAACTTGGTCGTTTGAACTCGAAATTGGACCGTTCAAGTCTCTAATTTTTCCTTAAGTCAAGAACCCATTTCTGTGCTATGTTTCTGCTTGTTATATGGAGTTTATTAGAATAAAAGCCTTTTTTCTTCTCATTGGTCGTGTAGACGCTGCAGCTTCGGAAGATCCGCTCTACGTGGATGTTGAAGCCGACGTTTTTGAAAGCGAGCAAGGCAAGTCACATCATCCTTGAGCATATTGAATTCCAGTTTATAAAACTATTTTGGTTTAAATTACTACATTATCGCTTTATTTAAATTCCCGTGTTATCACTGTTTTATTTAGCCATGACTATTTACCTTTGTTATGACCTTATTATTATTGCTATTGTTATTATTACCTTGTTCACCCTAGGATAAACAAAACCCCAACTAGTGGGTACTCTATTCATGGTTCCACTAGTATGAATTTAGCTAGCTGCTTCGCTGATTAATTAGGCAACATTAGGTGGTTTTATAACCTTAGACTTTGGGAATGCTCATATCATTTGGACATTATGGAATGGTTGGATTATGTGGAAATGGACACACCCCTTCTCCTCCTTTCAAAACCCCCAAAATGGTTTTAGGCTGGGCTCGAGGTGCATGGTTTTGCTAGTAGCACCTCGGCCACTATAAGGACTGGTCTTCGGGCCTCGGTTGCAAAGCACTACCGTACTTCCACATGTCTAGTGGGTAAGGCGTAGTTTGTGGCTCAGTCTGGTCATGGGAAAAAGTACACGGATAGAGATGGATGACGTCAGGGCTCGATGGACATCTCTAGGGCAAATGAAGGCTACATGAGCTGCGGCCCGGTAGTCGAGATGTCATGGCACAGGGCTGGTGTCCTGCTGCTAGGGGCTCAACCTTGGTTACCTGTCTCAGGATTCCGGCCGTAGCCAGGGTTGGGTCGGTACTCTTGTTTATTGCTAGGATGGGTTGGGAACTATGTCACGTCTTTCGTCCGTATGCCGTGGTGGTATGTGGCACGTGGTTACACGTGAGGAAGATGTGTCTTGTGGGTAAAGATGTACACCTCTGATCGGAGTATAATCTATTCGAATAGCCACGCCCTCGGTTATGGGCAAGCCTAGCAATGTACCCAAGTTAGTGGTTTATTTCTTAAAACCTGCTTAACAACAAAAATGTTGAATGGTTGGCCTGGGTTGGTTTGGAACGAGCTGAGACCTGGGTCTGGTTGCCAGTTCGGTCTGAATCATCATAGGCCTTGGGTTAAGGCAGGTTCGTGTGGGTTCACGGCCTTGAGTAATAACACAGTGTAGCTCTAGGATCGTCTTTATAAAATAGCTTTGGGCAACTAAATGACCTTTAAATGCTGTTTACTGCAAATCCTACCCCTATATTATAACCCTTGTACTCCTTTGCATTTAATCTGCATTTGTGGGTGTGTCTTGCTGAGTACGGTGGTTGTACTCAATCTTGCTCAATTTTTCCCCCAACCCAGAAGAGGAGTTCTTGGAGGATGAAGGCTTTGGTGTTTAGCTCGTGCCTGCCGTTAAGTGCCTGTGGTCGTCGCCCTAGTCTTCCGCTGTTTTCCGTTTATCTTCGTGTGTGCTGGGCCTTTGTCGCCCATGTAATAAATTAACTATTTATGCTTCCGCTTGTTAAACTCTGAATTGTATCAACTTTTGGTGTACCTTGCCTCCTGGGACAAAGAACAATACACACACGTATGGAATGCCCGTTGGGTTAATTCCGGTCGTGACAGAGAGGAAGGTAAAGGAAAGTAAGAGTGCGGTAACATGCAATATAATGACGATACATATGTCTTGCATCACAAAAAAAAACTAGATACTACTATCCAGTGAGGTCTTAGAAAAAAATCATTTTAGCAACTTAATTAGAGAAGTGAGATCAGTCTATTTCCGTTAACTCATTCAAGACTACTCGATGTTTCTAATTTTTTTCCCTATTGAGCGTTTCCTCACTCTCATGTCGCTCAATACCTTGAGTCACCCCTACCCCGATCCCCGATCCCTAATCCCTAGTATCCTTAGCTTGCCTCTCCTCTCCTCTCCACTATCGGCATGTGCAATGGAGCAGCGGACACGTGACGATTCACCGCTCGTCACGGTCGCAGAGGTCACGGCTCAGCTGCCCAGAAGGGCCACACGCAAGTGAAGTGCGGCGGAAGCGGATGTCGACTCACAATAGACAAATGAATTAAGGAAGGCGTGGATGAGGCATGCGACGTGGTGGTGGGGTGCTCGGCACCAACAAGGTCTACTTCCTCATTGAGGAGCAACATGCAGGTGGCTACATCTTCGGCATGGAGCGGCATCCCAATGATGGCTTCGTTCTTGACTCCAAGGATGAGGCACATGGTGGCATCCTCAACACCGAGCTACCCCCCCTCCCCCCGCCCCCTCCTCCTACCGACGACTGCTTCATCCCTAACTCCGAGGACGAGGCCAATTGGTGGTGTCCCCGACTCCGAGCTGCCCCCTGACACCGGCTTCACGCTTGACTTTGAGGACAAGGAAGTGGTGACGTCCCCAACTCCAAGCTGTTTGACTTGAAAAATAAAGCCTTAAAGCAAAGTAATTTACCTTGATGCATTTGTTCTTTTTCTTATGTAGCCTTAAAGTTAAGATCAAAAGGATGTAAGTTGAGATAAAAAATTACAGCTTGTTCATGTTCATGGTGCTCAACTTGAACAAGGTTATATCTCCTTAGGCAACAACTGGTCTTCTATTTTCGTCCATATCAGCTTCTCCTCCATTGAGGTCAGGGAAAGCTTCTTCATTTCTTTCATCTTCTGATGGTAAATTAAGATCTCTAACCATTTTAATATGTGTGTTGTTGAGTTAGATTATAGGTTGATGAAGAGAATGAAATAAGATGGTTCCTTCAGGATTTATATAAAATAGAGGGGCACTCCCTGGCGTCAAAAGCACCCTCCATAGGTTAATTCAAATGTTTGAATATGCTAATGATTGTTGTAGAATGATTCATTACTTAATTGCAATCATGAAATATTCCCTGGAACCTTTTGAAGTGCATGTCCTATTCCCTCCCTCCGTCCCATAATATAAGGGATTTTGAGTTTTTCTTGCAACGTTTGACCACTCGTCTTATTCAAATTTTTTTGAAATGATTATTTATTTTATTTGTGACTTACTTTATTATCTACAGTACTTTAAGCATAACTTTTCGTTTTTTATATTTGCAAAAAAAAATTGAATAAGACGAGTGGTCAAACGTTACAAACAAAAACTCAAAATCCCTTATATTGTGGGATGGAGGGAGTACTGAAATAGCAACTGAATCAAATAAATAGAGGTGCTGAGAAATCTTAAAACATTCAGTTTGGGATGGAGGAAGTAATAGGAAGACACCAATAATAAGATGGACAAGCATTTTCTCTTCACGTGTATACCCAAGAAACCTTATGGCTAATGGGAAAGTAGATAAGCTCACACTTTAGAATATTATACTCTGATCATTTTCTTTTCTAAAACTGTCGGTTGTCCTGACAAAAGTTATATATGTTTTTAGTTGACAAAATCATGATATTTACTCAATAGTAAATCCCATGTTCGGACCATTCTGCAATCCATGGGAGAATTGAATTGTTTCCTTGAAGAAGTACACTAAAATTCCTATAAAACACCTCTAAAAATATCATGTAAAACAACTGTATTTTTTGACGATGCCTGAAGACTAATTAAAATGCAAAAAAAAAGTAGGGATTTATTTAAGAATCCCTCAAATTTTAAACACAAAACCACTAGCCCTAACGGGTCGTTTGGTTGGCGGGAGTTTTAAGAGGGATTAGGAGTTTAGAGGGATGTGCCATTGTTCTGTTTGGTTGAAAGACATTGGAGTTTTGATGAATAAGGATAAGGAATTGAGGGAGTAACTTCCTTTATAGGGATGGTAATGGGAGGAAATTCCTCCTTATTTTGCCTAAATAAATCCGAAACCATCTATTTTCATTTAAGATCTAATCTTGAATTAAACTCACTATCAATTCCCACCATCTGTACTAAATAATACTAGATTAAAACTTAAAAAATCAAATTCCCATATTAATCTCACCATCAATTCCTTAATCTAAACTCCTAATTATCTTTTGCCTACAGCCGTAAGCTATTTCAAACCAGGCCAAACAGGGCTTCCAAACCACGTTTGCAGGCGGGCCCACCTGCAGATCGACCATCCTCAAGCTCCGAAATCGCAAAACACCTCCTCGCCTCCAAATCTCCAATCGATCAGACAAGCCACGAAAACCCTAGCCTTGTCCTGCCGCGATCGCCGTCGTGTCGGCGCGTCGGACCCCCGCCCCCGTTTCCCCGATTCGTTCTTGGTCTAGTTTGCTGAGGTGAGTTCGGATCCCTGCCTTTCTTTGACCCCCGGGGGATCTTGTACTGTTTCCCCCCCTCTCTGCGATGTTTTCTTGCTGGATTAATCCATTGCTGCCTCGCTGAGTGGTATATTTTGTTTTCATGAAGTGAGCTGCAGCGATGGCCGCGAAAGGTCAGCCGGTGAATGTGCAGAAGGAGCAGGTGAATATGCAGAAGGAGCAGGTCTGTGTTGGTTCATCTGATTTCGCGTATCAGTTTGTATGGTGATATCAGTAACAGTTTTCGAACTACTTTGTCACAAGTGATTTTCCTGCTTTTTTAATTACACTGACGCTGAAGCTCTGGATGTGATTAGAGGGAAACTGAAACTTGCTGATTTTGTTGTGATCCCAACAATCTTGAAAATTGGGCAGATTTGTGCAAGTTATGGCTGCACCTTGCCCTTCTGAGAATCGTTTGCGTTAATAAGATCTGCCATCCAGATGTATGCATGGATCTGTTCTACATTTTTTTATGGTGTTTCTGTAGTCGGGTTAGCAGGAGGCAAGGACAGCTTGAACATCCTCTTTAACAGTGATAAACGAACAATATACATAAAAAGAATATACCAGTCAGCGAGGCAGCGATTTTAAAATAAATAGGAAGCTAGGTAAGGTGAAATTAACAAGTTTATATAGGAGCTAGAGTGATTTTAAAATAAATAGGAAGCTAGGAAATTGTGTATAATATTTGTTTGTAAAGCATTAGGATAATTCACTTCATTTGACCCACAGAAACTTGAATGAGTCTTGAGATGTACATATATCAAGACAAAATATTAGTACTCCCTTCTTATTCATGTATGATGTTGGTTGGTTCAAAATTAAACTAACCAATGTCATATATAAAAAAAGAGGGAATATATGTTTTTCTCTCTTTTTTTTTTCACTTTTGCTACCATTTTTCCTTGGAGTAGCATACACTGAAGCTGAAAATTCTTTCCAGTCCTAGTGGTACCTAACATCGTACTAGTTAAAAGAAAGTTTAAATCAAATGTTTGTATTTTTCAAACTGTTGGTGTTTATACTGTTGTATGTTACTCTATTTGTTGTTTGAAATATAGTTTTCAGATTCTATGTTGCCATGGCTAAGAAAGACCACCACTATGCGTCTTACAATTTACTTATCCAGTCTAATTTGCAGTATTTGGAACTGTTGGTTTGTCAGATAGTCTTTTGTCCTATCATTTTCTTTGATAGTTCTTGTATGTAATGTCATTCAGTTTATACTTTGACCTTTGTTATTATGAGTTTGTGACTAAGGCTTTCCTGATAATTATAACCTCTTTGACTAAAGATTAATAATATTTTTCCTCTTTGTGTCTGAATAGATGTTTGGATTGGCAGAGAAAGAGATGGAATATAGGGTGGATCTTTTCAATCGGTGAGTGACCTAGTGAAGTAACGTCTTCTTTTTATTTGATTAGTTCTACCTTTAGCTATCAGAGAGTTCAGGTTGTTCTTCGGCATGGAGTTATCTAAATGTATACTGAGATATCATGTAGCATATAATTTAGTGTGACTGTTCTTTAATCTTAAATCAAAATGTTCGCCCTTTATTTTTGCATCCTTCAAGTTTATTACAGTAGTATGCTAAAGCAATTAACCTAAACCTGGCAGTTTCCTGATTGTCTACCCTTGTTTCACTTTATGCAGGCTTACACAAACATGTTTCAGCAAGTGCATTGAGAAAAGGTAACATATGGGGTTTGCCTTTGTATTTCAGGGTCCTCTGTTTTTACTATTAGTGACTTCAACCTTCATTTCTTTTCACCCATGACGCTGTAATTCACAAAAGTTGAATTAGATTTGTTTAGTCAAGGTAGTGTTTTGCTGTTCTGTAAACCCTTTTGTGATGGAAAAATAATCATGAGTTAAATGGTCAAGGCTCAATACTAAAAATGGCATACAATACGACATCTCTGTACATATGGAGTTCATAGCCATGCTTTTAGCACATGAACTGATGAGCTACATGCGATTATTTGGACTTATGCAACTTCTGTTATCTCTAGGCATAAAGAAGCTGAACTAAATATGGGTGAGAATAGCTGCATTGATCGATGTGCTTCGAAGTATTGGCAGGCAAGTTTATTCAGTTTTCTGGACTGTTAATATTTACTTCCCATTTAGCTTCCTGAAGTAGATTCAGCCTGTTGTAGTGAAGAAATAATTGTGAAAAATGAACCTCCTTAAGATGATTGTTAACTGTTGGCTTTGGAAGGTGTAGCTCTCTCTGTTCAAAGAAGCTTACTGTTTACATAAAGGACCAGCCAATCTGCTTTCCATAGGAAATACTTGATGGCTGATTTGTTCTGGAATCAATTGAAAATTTTCTCTGATTGTTTCCTCCTGTTTCTACAGTGCAAGGAAGGCTGCTCCTCACCCCTATAGTGTATACAGCTTTGTAATTGCATAGTTCTCCATTTAGTTATATTGATCTGCACTCTTTCCCTTCATATAAACAAACATGACCATAAATTAATTCCGAGTAATATTCTTGTGGTTCTTTTCAGTTTCTTTTTTAGTAAGCATAATCATCATCATTCTAACAGATTAGAAGTATTGTGGTTAGTTTTGCTTTCAATCCGGTTAAGTTAATTTCTCATTGTTCTTCCTGAAATACCTTTTCAGGTGACTAATTTAGTTGGACAGCTCCTTGGAAATCAGCCTCAAATGTGAGCTTAGAGATGCAATTGCTCTTATTGGTAGTAGAACATCATTGTCTTCCTTTTTTGGCATGGTAGTTCGGCAAATTATTGAGCACAATGAGAGGAGAAAATTGTCAGTTCCTCCCATTTGTATCTTTGACATGAGTCTGCTTGACCAACACATAATGTTTGAGATACATTCCAACCTGTATCAGTACTTTCAGCTTGCAGAAAGGCGGCATCTGTTGGCTGCTGTCATTTTTTGGTTGGTGAGCTATAAAACAATACAGAGATGGAAGTTTGCCTGCATCGCTCGCTTGTTTGATACAATTGAGGACTTTTTTTTTCCTGGTTGTTTCCTTCTTGTTTCTGGATAAATGTACATGAGATGTAGATTCATCTTCTTTGATATTGGTCCGGAAAAGCGAGGGAGCGGCGTGTTTCATTTTGTTCCCGCGGCTTTGCATATTTGTTGAATTTTTTTTCCCGGAGACACCAGATTCTTTTAGTTTGTTAGCTGCTAATTAATTACTCCCTCTGTTTTTTATTTGATATTGGTTAGTTTAAATAAAGAAAAATGGAGGGAGTATTTTGGTGGGGGTCAATGTATGCATCCACCGATTACAGGATGGATGGCCTAGATAGATGCAATATAAGAGACATTCTTACCATTTAATCGGAGTTTATTATCTATTTCACAACATAGATTTCTTCTTTTTGTTTTATACGATTATAAGTGACCTTCAAAGCAAATTTGACAAGATCAACTTTCTTTAAAGCATTTTCTTTATCACTACTATCATAAAAATTAAAAATATTTCTGTTAGAATTTTGGTACGTCCGTTCCATGTATTAGCTTTGTCCAATTCTTGGGAGCTCTGCGTGTGCTCTGCTTCAATGCATCGTCCACACGAGGCCCGCCACTAAACCCTAGTTTTCTTGGACGGAAGACTTTACTTAGCATTAAATGGACTTGAGTTTGCAATTATGAAGCAAGCACGGATGGGAGGGAATCGTGCACTTCAAGTGGCTATGGGTTCTCAGTCTATTGTGCAGCTGGGTCTTTCGATGTTCTTGCCAATGTTTATGGGGATTGGACTAGAAAAAGGTTTCATAAGCACCCTAGGACATAATCATGCAGCTTCAGCTCTATTCAGCATTCTTCACTTTTTACCTTGGGACTAAGTCACATTATTTTGAGTCCTAAGCACGCGCTTCTGCATATCCATTTTGGTTTTCATCCAGCTAAAATCCAAGCCCTTGTTGATCGAACGGATCAAGCGTGGCATCAAGGAGCTCGCAGCTCCCTGGCGGTTATTCATGTGCGCATTAGCGTTTGCCGAGCCAGCCGATTCGGCTGCCGACAGCGGCGTTCAGCGAGATGGGTTCCTGAGCCTTCTACTGTTCATGTGGATGGACCCGCAGCTGCGGCTGGGGTGTACTCCAAGAGTCCAAGCTGCTCGACCTCGATGATGTCCCGGCTAATGTTGTAGCTGCCGACGAGGTACTCCAAGCAAGCATTCTTCTGCGAAGATGTACTTGGAAATAGCAAGGTCTAGCCTGCAGGTTCGCTTGAACGTTCGCTTGTATTCTTCAAACAACACATTCCTGGTTAGACCTTGCTAATTCGTAGATGTTCCTGCCAAGATTTAACTTGACGACTAACACATTCAACACGTACTGCTACATGAGTGTCAATGACGTGTAATTCTTCTCCCAGCTTGTATTCATCTTGTTCACATAAATTTCGCTGTGTATAATGTAAGTTACTCCTTTAATTAACACCTGAAACTTGTGCTTTGAACCTTAGCACGCTTGCTTGCTCATCTCCCCAGGGAGTTTGAGATGTTCTCTTCCCATACCAATTTTATTTTTTCAGCGTACATACAATTAAAATTGCTTTCTCTTGTTATAATGCATTATCATATTACTAAGTATAAAATAAAAGTGAGAGTTTACCTTTAAAATGGTTACCACAGGTCCTACACACCCATTGCAATAAGGGGCATTTTGCTAGTACTCCCTCTGTTCCAAAATATAAGGGGTCTTGGATAAATGTGACACTTTCTAGTATTATAAATCTGGACATGCTCCCTGTCCAGATTTATAGTACTAGGAAACGTCACATCCGTTCAATATTCCTTATATATGGGGACGGAGAGACTAAATAATAAATGAGATGCCTATCACGACCGAACTTCCTATTTTGTTTAAAAACCATATCCTATCTTCCTGTAAAGTTAATACCCACTAAGTACTAAGCACAATATACAAGTGTGTCACATCATCACCCACTAGCAATTATTATGTAGGGTATTTTAAATCACATGCAAGAGTGTCACATAATGACCCACTAGAAATTATTATCGAGAGTACTTTAAATATCATGCAAATTAATGTGACATACCATTTATAATTTTGTTGCATTTTTAGAACTCAATATGCAAGCAATGTTAAATCATTATCTTCATATCATTTTCACATTATTTAAACACATACATCTATCATTTCTATAATATATAGCAATGTATTCATCCACATATTCCGCATCAAAGCACGAGATATCAACTTAGTATACGTATAGATCACAAAGCAGATTTTCTATGTCAAAAGGATAATTATTAATGCTAGCAATGGATAACACACATTAGCCCTGCCTCGCGTCATACTGAGTAAGAAAATACAGCAAGCAAAGGAGCAGTCTCACACTTTCATTTGCACGTCCACGTACCCCCGCCCATGCGCGACCTCGCCACCATATATAAACCGCGCCAACCTTGCCGTCGTCCTCGACGATCTCACCCCAGCTAGAGCTCGCCGCCGTTGCCAGCCATGACCGGAGCTCGCCGCCACTGCCGCCGCGTCGTGATGTTCCCGTTCCCGTTCCGCAGCCACATCGCCCCGATGCTCCAGCTCGCCGAGCTCCTCCGCGGCCGCGGCCTCGCCGTCACCGTCGTCCGCACCACCTTCAACGCCCCCGACGCCGCGCGCCACCCGGAGCTCATCTTCGTGCCCATCCACGAGCGCCTCCCCGACGCCGCCACCGACCCCGGCACCGACCTGGTCGAGCAGATGCTGGCGCTCAACGCCGCCTGCGAGGCGCCGTTCCGCGAGGCGCTCCGGCGGGTGGTGCGGGTCGGGGGGGGGGGGGGGGGTGGAGCGAGGTGGCGTGCGCGGTGGTCGACGGGCAGTGGTACTGGTACGCGGCGCTCACCGCCGCGGCGGAGGTCGGCGTCGCCGCGCTCGCGCTCCGCACCGACAACGCCGCCGCGCTCCACTGCATGCTCAGCTACTCGCGCCTCCGCTACTCCGGCTACCTCCCGATCAAAGGCAAGTTGTTTCCGGTATGAGATCGTGTTCATGGCGATTCTTGCAGCAGTGCTCATCGCGTCTGATTCTTGGCTGCAGAGGAGAGCCGCGACGAGGTGTTGCCGCCGGTCGAGCCGCTGCGCGGGCGCGACCTGATCCGCGTCGACGGCGGCGACGCGGAGCGGGTGCGCGAGTTCATCGCCCGCGTCGACAACGCCATGCGGACGGCCGCGATGGGCTTCGTGATCAACACCTTCCGCGCCATCGAGAAGCCGGTGCTGCGGAACATCCGGCGCCACCTGCCGAGGATCCCGGCGTTCGCCATCGGGCCGATGCACAGGCTGCTCGGCGCGCCGGAGGAGCACGGCCTGCACGCGCCGGACAGCGGCTGCGTTGCGTGGCTGCACGCGCACTCGCCGCGGTCCGTGCTGTACGTGAGCCTCGGCAGCGTGGCGCGCATCGACCGCGAGGTGTTCGACGAAATGGCCCTTGGGCTCGCCGGCAGTGGCGTCCCATTCCTCTGGGTCATCCGCCCAGGCTTCGTCACCGGCATCGTCTCCGACGCCCTGCCTCTGACTGAACCACTCACCGCCGTCGTGGACAACGGCATGGGAAAGGTGGTGACATGGGCGCCACAGAGAGACGTCCTGGCGGCTGGCGCACCCGGCGATCGGCGGGTTCTGGACGCACTGCGGGTGGAACTCGACGCTGGATAGCATCTGCGAAGGGGTGCCCATGCTCGCGCAGCCATGCTTCGGCGACCAGACGGTGAACGCGAGGTACGTGACGCACCAGTGGGGCGTCGGACTGGAGCTCGGCGAGGTGTTCGACCGGGACCGCGTGGCCGAGGCGGTGAGGAAGCTGATGGTTGGGGAAGAAGGCGCGGCCATGAGGGACAAGGCGCGTGGTCTCAAGGCGAAGGCAAGCAAGAGCGTGGAGGATGATGGAGCTTCTAATGCTGCCATTGATAGGCTTGTGCGATACATGGTGTCATTCTGAATTCTAAAAACTTGATGCTAGGACTATGATATTGGGATGCTCTAACGTAAAGCCATAACGTGTGGTCAGTGGCATGTGGGCCTGAGGGCGGTGAGGCCTATATGTCCCTGACCACGTCAGGGAGGACGTTACGTCTGAGGATCTATTTCCATCATAATGCCATGAATAATCATTGGGTTTTTAATAATAATCTTGTATCAGTTGATAGGCCGTGATTCTGTGATTGATCATGTCACTAATTCCTACAATGTACTAAAAAGAGTTTTGCTCATGGGAATGTCACCACAAATATCTCAGTTAGCAAACTGGGTGGTAGTAATAATATCCTTGATTAAAAAAGACTGAAACAATGGAGAAGTTAACAAATCCATTAAGAAGGGAAAACTCTTTCTCTTAGGACTAAAGGCTGGGATGTTGCTGTGTTGGTATTTGCCTACCTGGTAGTACTAATCTCTGCCCTGGGATCATAGCATTTCATTCCTTCCAAATTTCCCGTATCACCAAAAAAAATTGCAATTCTTATCTTCCGCTGAAATGGATGAGGGTTGAGTCTGCAAAAAATTTGAAACCGTATTCTTATCTTTCTAAGAACATTTATCTAACATTCCCAGTAATTTCATAATTGTGATCTCATCCCTATACCTGTCTGTAAGATAACATCAATGTCTTTGCTAAACATTTTGGTTTTGGGATGGATTATGTTGGCTGCTGATTTGGCTATCAGTGGTAACTGGGTAATTAGTAATTACAAGAAGAATGTTCGCTCTTGGAAGGTGTGATTCACTTAATTATTGTAGTTCTGAAATTGTTTGCACAAAAAGCAGAAGGATTATCATGGCACAGCCTTATATTTTCTAGGATTATCAGAGCAACAGAAACCAACCAGAATCTTCAGGGTAAAAATAAACCAAGATCATCAACAAACTTGTTGTAAAAGATGAATTGAACATGCCTATTCAAACAAAAGGATTAAAGAACCATATAGCATTCATTTTGCAGGAGAAAGAATCAAACATTTCGGACAACCAGACAATAAATATTTCTTTCAAGATCCAAACGACAGCAAATAGGTTGATCAGGTATATGACAGCAGATCAGGTAAGAAATCAGACGAAAATACTATCATATGTTCGTGGATATCGATCCGGCGATCATGGCAGAAATCAGACGTGGCGCGACGAGATGAGGCGTCGAAGGTCGCAGGTGAGCCTCTCCTCCGGGATCATCTCGCCGTCGTCCATCACGGTGGTCGTCCTCGCCGTCATGGAAGGCCTACATCAAACACACCACCAAAGATGTCAAGATTCAGAGATGGAGATCACCAGCCATGTCGTGTTTTGTGTGTCAGTGTCAGTGTCACTCACCGTGCGACGTCGGCGATCCTCGCCGGCGGCACGTTCCGGGAGGATCCCGCGGAGCATCTGCATCAGCTGCGCCCTGTAGAACCTCATCTCGCGGCAGGACATCTCCTCGAGCTCGCCGTTGGACTTGAACTCGATCGTGCCCTCCGTGACGGATCCCGGCATGCCGACGTCGATCGCGACGCGGCCCGCGAACTGCTCCCACCAGCACAGGCGGCGGAGCGCCGGCGCGCGCAGCGTGAACGAAGCGTACTCCACGGCCCACCCGGTGGAGCAGACCACCACGAGCTCGTCCAGCGCCGGCGCGTCGACGGTGACATGGCCGAACGGCTCGTCGTCGTTCTTGCGGCATGGCGGGCCGACGCTGACGTCGTCCATGACGAGCAGCTTGAGCAGCTGGAGGCGGATGTCCACCTGCCGGTACTCCACCGTGCAGCTCTCCATCTCCAGGCTCTCCAGCTGCGGGCACCACTTGCCCGGGGCGAACGGCACGGCCGCGGCGACGAGGACGCTCTGGAGCGTCAGCGAACGGAGGGACGGGAGGCGCGGCGCGTCGTGGAGCTCCAGGTGATAGAGGGTGAGCACCCGAAGGCAGTCGGCGTAGACGGCCGGCGCGCGGTAGCCAGACCCGCGGACGTCTAGATCCGTCGCCGTCGAGGGCACGTCGACGTCCCACTCGTCCAGGCGGCGCGCGCGGGCAGCGCGAGCGCCGCCGGGGCCGTGGCAGATGGTGATGCGGATCTCGCGCGCGGCGACGGCCCTGATGATGGCGTTGGCCTCCTCGTTCATGCAGCGGTCGGCGGCGAAGTAGGTCAGCCTGAGCTTGTCCACGGGGCGGCGCATCCGGTGGAGCGCGGCGCGGTGGCCGAGCACGACGTACCCGGGGAGGAAGGCGCCGAACAGCACGAACTCGCGGAGGTCGATGTTGACGACGGGCGCGGCGCGGTGGAGGCGGAGGCGGCGCCACGAGGCGCACACCGCGGAGAGCTGGATGACGTCCCAGTAAGGGAGCATGGAGACGATCCGGGCGAGGACGCCGTCCGGCAGCGCGGCGAAGCGGTCGGCGGCGGAGATCTCCGCCTCCTCCGTCTTGCGCCGCCGCCGATTCGGCTCCATCGTCTCCTCCTCGCTCTGGTGGTGATCGGTGGAAATGGTGATCAACTGATCGTGGCGTCCCCCGCGGATTTCTCGGCATAACCGCATAAGTAGTTGCTTCCTCGTGGGAAATGGAAATTAGGCGGTGGATTTCAAATTTCAAAACTTCAAAAAGTTTCTGATCCGAAAACTACTCCCGCTAATCCAGGCGAAATTACCGGTCTAAAAAAAATCCAGGCGAAATTACCAATCTAAAAAAATCCAGGCGAAATTGGGGGAAGGAGCTAACGAGGGAGATGGGCTCATGGGCTGGTGGGCTGGATATTTGCTGCTGTTTGCAAGGTTCGGCCCAAGCAGATGCTGGGTGTCAAACATCTGAATTTTAGTGCCTCACATAAGCCAATAAAATAGCAGCTAAAACACAGGACAATATTAAGGCGGTGGCTGCAAACCAATCACCAAAATGTTGTAGTTGCACATTGTTAAGGTATCAGCTGAAAAGTACAAAATGAAAAACAGTTGCAAAAATGCTTTGCAGGAGAAGAATCGAAAAGGAATATGCCCAAAACTACCGACTGTGTTTGTGCCCATAGTTCATTTCAGAAAAAAAAAAGTGTCCATATTTTACTTTCAGACAAAACCAGTTCTTTTTTCTGCATTCGTCAAGCATTTATAATCAGACTGTATTCGATCGTGGGACTGTTCGGTTTTTGTGGGACAACAGGAAATCATGTTGGGTCCAAGTCACACTACTGGGCTTAAATTTCAGAGAACGCTGTAATCTCTGAGATCGGCAAAATCAGTTTTACAGCTGACCACAGTATGAACTTGTGAATTCTGAAGCACTTTATTAACCGAGTATTTCAGAGTATTTTAACATCTCATCTCAGCTCCTGAAAGTCAGAAGCCAAAAGGTCCGCAATGCAGAGCTAATTTGTCTGAACATGACATAGGATAGTAGGATTAGCATTCGGTTTGGCAAATTGAAATTGATTCTGTCGTGTCAGATTCACTCCATCTCCAGGTTGCTTATTTGCTTCAATACCCAGAAAATATGACAGCTCCCCTGTGACCTTGATTGCAAACTTGGCTGTAATTTACTGAATCAGTCCTCCAGTGTCAGATTTTGCAGCTGAACTAGCAATAGTAGCATCATCCACATAGACAAAGATGTAAATGATGACACCAGATTGATGGAAGATAAATTGAAAAATATCACTTTTGAATGGTGTAAACTGTAAACCCCAACTCCTGCAACTTAATACTCAGTTTATATAGTTCATACTTCATAGTACCACACACGTGGCGCTTGGTTAATTCCATACAACACCTTATCTAGCTTCCAGATACGTATTGAGTGAGCAGGATCAAAGAACACATGAGGTTCTCTTTTGCATATTTAAATCTAGATGAAGTTCACCGTGCATAGAAAATTTTACATCAAATCTATCTATCTATCTATCTATTATATACTAAAAGTCCATTAAACTTTCTACAAACGCTCCTAAACCTCCACGTGGCGCTCCTACAAACACTCCTAGGCCGCCACGTGGCACTATCTAATCTCACCGTTGATTTTCACTTAAATTGGTGAACCCGTTAATTTAGACCATTAGATTAGATCTATTATTAAAAAAATTGATAGTTTTTCTTAAAAAAAATATGCAACTGGTGGCTGGGAAAAGGAAAGAAAATGTCCATACGCAAGTATAATTGAAAAAAACAAATAAAGCTTCCTACGGTTAGGCGGAAGAATAAAAACATCTGTGTACGATAAAAAATGATAAAGCCAAAAAAAAATGTGTAGTTAGTACTGTTGGAAAAAATGACGGTCTAAAATAGTATTTTGTATAATATAAAATATAATACTACATAATATACGGAAGTATATGATCTATAATATAAATATCAAATATCATATGAACGGTCTCTAAACATTATCTTTTAAATTATTTTTAATTATATGCCCAATTTATGATCGATTGTATTCTTTTAATTATATATAGTATCGGTGTATAAAAGTAATGTTGTGGTACTAAATACATCATGACACATCGGGTCGACATGCAATAGGTAACATTAGAGACCTATTAAACTTGATACAAACGCTTCTAAATAGTCGTGTAGCACTCCTACGAATGCTTCTACGCCACCACGTGGTGTTCTAATAAATTAGAGAAAACCTTGTAAATTGTGAGAAAAAAACATCCAATCATTTTTATTGGTGGACCCACTATTTTTAAACTATTAGATTAGATTTATTTAAAATACATCCCACGTAACCTGCTCGAATAAAAAAATCACGTGAATAGTTACACGTATATATACGTACTTCTGTACTTTGCTACTCACTGAAAAAAAGAAAAAAAAAACTGTAATTACAATTGAAAAAAATAAGGTTTAGCCCTGCCACGGTCCCACCTAATTGTTACGAGTGACACGTACATATGTACGGTTCACCCAAAAAAGTGAAAAAAAATCTCAAATGTAAAATACGTACTACTGTTCACTGGATTGAGAAAAAATATTCTCCCAAGTTTGTACAAACTACGCACCGTCCTTCACTCCTCAAATCTTTATACATAATATCAACATTCACCCGTCCTCTAATAAATTTATCTAAATAATAAATAGATGTATGTGGGAAAATATTACGACTACATTTGATATTAACTATATTTTAATTTAAAAATTATCACATTGAAGCATATTTAGAGCTTTGTCCATTAAATATCATATAAACGCTATTAAAACACAACGTAGTACTTCTACAAATGCTCCTACACCACCAAACGCTCCTACACCACCACGTGGTATTTTAATAAATTAAAAAAATCACAAAAATTACGAGAATAAACAAAACATCCGGCTGTCGATTTTCACTAATATACGGTGGACTCATTGTGTGTACGTACCTCTCCACCTATTTCCTTTCTATCCTATTTTCCACTTTCTGTTAGATGGAAAAAATATTTTAGGATAAACAATTTTAGACAATTATATTATCTAAATCATATAGCTAGCTTTTTATTGGTGCACACCATTAGATTATTTACTATAAAACATAAAATTGAAGATCCAAGTTAACTATATTATTAAAAAAATCATTACTCTGGGTCATATTATTCTAATAACTATTGTTTTTCACTGATCCATACATTTTTAAGAAAAATATATAGATTTTTAAACCTTATGATTAATAACATACACTTAAATTAGAACAACTTTAAACAATTTAAGTTGTTTAATTAAAAAGTACAACACACAAAGTATTTTCTAATAGATCTAAGATTATATGTGTTTATAAAAATAGATAACTCAAAACTAGGACCCATTCAATCTATGTTAAAAACAATAATCTCCTCCCTTCCTCCTACCTTACGTATACCTCTGGCTCACCCATCATCTCCTCTCCAATTCAATTATGTCCTCTTATTTTTTTAACTAACATAATATAACTATTATTTTATTTATAATTAAATAAATAAATCAAGATAACATTAGCTATATTTTACTATAAAAAGTTAAAATACATCATTTGATGGTAGACCCTATCGTTTGGATGGCAACTAAATAAGAAAAATTAATCGAACATATGTATTATGTTATGCTAAATCACTATATGTAACAAAAATCAATTAAAGCCCACTAGAGCGCTCATAAATCACCATATAATATGTCCTATAATTATAAGAAAAAGGCAAAATTTCATACAGGACACCCAAAAAACGTGTATTTGGTTGGGAGACACCGTAAAAACGTGACATGGCTGATGGACACTACGAAAATTGTGTAATTGGCTATAGGACACCGGAGGAAATATTTTATAATTTCCGGTCAAAATAGGTGAGAAATGTTAGCTTATTTTGAATCAAACTCCATTTTTTTCTTTGGGCATCGTAAGGGATGTAATTGCGTGTATGTGGATGGAGGGTGCCGCTTGGTCGGATTGACGGACAGAAAATTATTGTGACGACGATTAGAAAGTTACTAATTTTTAAGTAGTTAAGATATGGATAAATGTGAATTTGTCCATATTTATCTCTAATTATTTTGACATAGGGAGTAACCACCAACCTTTTTTTCCCACGAAAAGAAACAAAAAGAACATAACTAACACTGACTGCGAATCACCGAGGGACACGTGGCTGGACATACGAGGTGCTAGATTAAATTAATTCAATTAAATTGACGTATCCATTATTTTTAACTATTTGATCTATTTTTTTAGAAAAATTTTAAGTTACCATGGGGCACGCCCTATTAAAAAAGGGATAAACCTTAAAAATTCTTAGAAAAAATGAAACACCCCGTCATAGGATTTCACTTAAATCATTTAGAAAAATTATAAAAATTGGAAAAACAAAATCTCCACCTCCTCCTCACTCTCACATCTACACAACACTGTCGTCCCCTCCCTATTGTTTTATCTATTAAATTAAAAGAGAAACAATAAATAATGTTTGATATTTTTTTAAAATAAAATACAAACGCGGGCGCTCACAACACGCACACTCACCTCTATGAACTCACACATGCACATACCCCTATGAGTACTTCCGAGAGACTAGGATGACATATTTTGAGATTGACGAAGTCACTATGTACTTCTCGCTGTCGATGGGTATGTTACCTATTACTGAAAGAATTTGTCCAAGTCTAGGACATGAACCCAAGTGGGCAAATTCCATCACAACAAACATAACCAGTTGAGCTAAGTTCACTTCACAATAATGTTAGATATTAAAACAACCATAATTTTTAAGCTATATTTCTGGAATACTCCAATGCCTTTTAAGCATGTGGAATCATTATATTTAACAGTTAGATCTATCTTATATAAGAAAAACATATGTCTATACATGGTACATCACATTTAAAAAATATTATTGTGCATGGAGCTTCTGACCCACTCTACATGAAATGTTCATAGATGGATCGGCTCTCAAATTATATCAATCATATTAGGCTATATAAACCCATATATTTAGTGGAGCTTCACGTCCCACCCAATTAATCCTCGAATAAATCATGATAATATATATGCAATTAAAAAAAGAAAAATACCTTAGTTTTACTTTACACTTACTTTTCATTGACATGTTTTCTTAAGAAAAAAGTCTACCTTCTTTTCAAATGATGAAGAAGATTATAAATAATTGCTTATAGATATTACTTAAATATGATATAATAGAAAGCTAATAGGTTAGAAAATTATAAAGGAAATTAATGTCGACGAAAAAAATTTATGGAGAAATCGTGATAGATGTTCACCGGTTAATATTTCGCTCTTATAAATATCTCAGTCTTAACGTACGACGCATATCCGCGCAATCGCGCGGGCTACCTTCCTAGTTATTATATACTAAAAGTCCATTAAACTTCCTATAAACGCTCCTAAACCGCCACGTGGCACCCCCTATAAATGCTCCTAAGCCGCCACATGGCGTTTTAATAGACGAGAAACATCTAACCCTCAATTTTCATTTAAACTGGTGGATCCATTATTTTACACCATTAGATTAGATTAAAACCAATAGTTTATCCCTTCCTCTTCTGTCCCTGCACGTACATCTACTCTTCCCTCCCTCCCTCAGTACACGTACTGACGTACATATTCCACCCTCCCTCACACGTATGTATGTAGGCAGGTAGTACGTACTCATCCCCTTTTTTTTTCTTCCCATTCACCCTACTGTTATTTTTTAACCTAGGATACCCCTAAATATTTTTATATTACTTTTTTCCGCTATTGACTTTTGAGCATGTGTTTGATTATTCATCTTACTAATAAAAATACGTAATTATCATTTATTTTATTATGATTTTACATGGATGTCTTATATTCGCTATATTTTAGCACAAAATACATTGTGGCAGATGACATCCACATGTATTAATTAACTCCACAACAATTTTTCAAAAGTAATCACATCAAACTATATACTTTATGGCATCAAATATTACTTAACAAATATATAACGGTAGTTTGAACTATGTAAAAATGCAAACCATGTAATTTAGTTGTGTTTTTAAGTAGATCCAATTTAAATTTTAATTTGTGTAAGATTAACATTCTCAAATCATTTGGAATTTTTCAAAATTATTTGGTTGGTATTTTAATTGTAATAAATCCTAAATTATACATAGATGCAAAGAAAATTCACCAAAAATATTTTCAACAGGTAAGGTATATATCATTGGTTTTTTCATATTTTTAATAATTATTTAAATGATATGAAAAAAGTCAGAATATAACAAAAAATACAATATTTATTTTAGAAGTTCAAATATAGTTAATATGGGTCCTCGATAAAAAATAGTTATTTATTTTAAAAGATTATAATAAATTAGGGTTCATGATTAATATATGATGAAAACATGAGAGACAATACATGGGGAGAGGGCATGAATGAGGGCAGAGGGGTGGATGTTGGGCGATGGTGCACGTATGTACATACATACAATGCCCCTCGGGCTATATTGGTACAATCGATGTTTACTTTATGTTTTCACTGCCAATACATATCCAGAATGACATATTTGGTTAAGGTCGGCTTTTGACTCTAGCTACCATAACAATTATAATTTTATATCTTTATTTGTGATTGATCGAAAAATGTAGTTTTGCCAGTTAGAGGAAACAATCGAATTCATGAATTCTCTAAAATGTGCTCAAATAATCCAAGAGTGCCAAACGATCTTCTACATAAGTGCTCTAGAATATATTCTATGTAACATTTAAATTACTTTATTAGACGGTATTTAATAGCATTTTAGTATATGGTACATATATATACTTGCCGGTGGCTATGTGCTTATATTCCATACCTTACGGGTATGAAAAAAAAGTATGTTTTCTCTGTGCACAAACCTTTAAAAAGATCTTATCATCCATATATATGGACATTAACTTTCTATAAACATGTCACCATGCACATATTCACTTGAAGAATTAAATTTTGAATCCATTTATGTGTTACGATACACCGAGACATGAAAAGAAAGATTAACTAAACATGATCGAAACTGTAAACACTACTACAATGAATCGTATGGTAACCTCCGTGTCTCAGCATATATACAAGTTTTACAACCATGCAACATGATGACTTGGAGGTGCAAGAAAACCATTATCACCAAACAATTGTCATCTACTAGACAGAAAAAATTTACAATGTATTGTTTAGACTTTGGAACCCAAAAATTTTCTTGCGCAAACTAGAATGAGACAGCAAGCAAAGCAGGGAGACACTGAGTAGACCAGTTTTAATGAGATAATAATAGTGCATCAATAGAGGATAAGAGGAGTGCTATTGAGTCCAGCTAGGCCTTACTTTTTGTCACCATAGGGCATATTGAGTAGAAGGTGCAAGTGGATTGTATAGTGACCAAACAAATTCCATGCTACAAATGCAAAAAGCTTTCAAATAATTTATCTGATATTTGAAACACATATTTTCTAGGGTCTTTTAGAACTTCATAGAATATGTGATAATTATGACAAGTGGATAGACATTATAGGCTTCAGATAAACGATTATAAAATCTAATTGTTACTAATTCATGCCCAATGCAAGCTAGCTAAACAAAATATTTGTGGGTTGGTTACTTTCGATTACATAATTCCTAATATTTAACTAAAAATTTTATTAAAAAATGAAATTATGGGAACAATCATATAAAAGCTCATTCCAGATAATGATATGTTTGTAGTAATATTTAACCATCCAATAATTGTGTTCTCGCTAGCTTCGCACACTTATGGGTTGTCTCCTACACTGCACAATAGAATTGGACTCTACAAGAATATGTATTTAACATAGTTTTGAATCCCCTCAATCCATGAATAAATAAACAACAGGAACCTATTTTAGTATTAGATGTTTACACAAAAGTTGATTCATATTTATAAAAATGTTGACATATAAAGCTAACTAATTAGATGTTTACCCATTAGCATAAGCATTGCATTATTTTTTAGTTCTTAGATGATTAGACTGCAATAAGTATGTAACAAAAAGCTAACTAATTAGAGGGCACGAGCTTTATTGTGCAAATAGAACATGTTTATTAAACAATAATGGATTTGGAAAAAAAACATTTCAGAAAAAAAGAACCCTTAAACAAACAATTATAAAAAGTTCGTAATAAAAATTTAAGCAACATCAAACAAAGTGCCCGCGCAACTGCGCGGGCTACCTTCCTAGTTGGAATAAAGATCAGCCCAGTGAAACTGCTGCTAGAGACAACATTAGGGTCAGTGTAGCAGGTTTGAGAACCGGACTAAAGGTGTCGCAATAGTCCACGTTGTGCAGCTATTTGAATCCATTTACGAACTCAAGTCTCAACTGAATAACTGATCCATCTAACTGATATCTGATCTTAGAACTCCATTTGCAACAATCGCATCTGTGAGGCGCTTTATCCGTTTATCGGATTAGTTGTACTCAGTAGCAGCCTTGATGTCTTGATGCAGTTATCAAGAGAAACATCGTCCAAACCACTATCAGCAACCTTGGTTTCAGATAATTGTCCTGATACAAGTTTTCGGATGATGGATAGTACCGGGTAGAATTCACAATATTCTGAAGAGTCTTCTTGCCACTAAAATTAATCTGCTTGATATCTTGAGAAGATTCCTTTTGACGCAAATATCTTGAGAAGATCATAGGGAAACAATAGGAAATGGAAACTTCTTCTCATTAAATACAACATCTCGACATATGTCTGAAACTGAATGAAACACACGCTCAAAATCAAACCATTATACTCCAAGAGATGCTATGTTAAAATCACCAACAATATTAAGGTTTTTCCCCTATAGTTTGATTGTCTTCAGAAGTATACTCTGCTTCCCACCTAGAATTATCCTAAAGATAGAATCCGTCAGAAAGTCCAAAGAATGCAGGAAGCATCTTCAGAATCACCATGAGCAGCAATAAGAATGCACAGCCTGAGGCCCCTGATCGACAGTTCAAATTTCTGCTAAAATTTCAAAACAAATCAAAACTAGGTTCCAAAATCAGGTTGCTAACACAAGTTATTTCGTTAAGCTTTCCAAAAACAAAATAAAAATCTACCCGTGCGGCTGAGCGAGGCAACGCGCGCGCAGCAGGGCTGTCTCATGCTGACGTCACCCCACGCATCCCCCCTCCTCCTCTTCGATAAATTCAAATCCCGTCCTTGTGGGGGAAGATTCACCCGCCCGCTTCCTCTCCTCTCTCTCTCTCTCTCTCTCTCTCTCTCTCTCGATACCCTAAACCCTAGAAATTCTCGAGCGCTCGCGATCGAGACTCCAATGGCGGCGGCTGGCGCGGATGGGCTCCCTCCGGGGCTCAGATTCGACCCCAGCGACGACGAGCTCGTCGGCCGGTACCTGCTCCGGCGCCTCCAGGGCCAGCCCCTCCCGCTCGACGGCGTCGTCCTCGATGCCGATCCCCTGAGCGCGCAGCCATGGAGGCTTCTCGCGGATCACGGCCGGGGCGGCGACGAAGCCTTCTTCCTCGCGGAGGCGCACGCCAAGAACGCCAAGGGCAAGCGCCAGAAGCGCACCGTCGAGGGTGGAGGGTTCTGGCAGGGGCAGAGGATGTGCGTCGACGGCAAGAAGCTGCTCGTCCCCGGCGGCGACGACGGCGGCGGCGGCGGCGAAGTACTGGAGATCGCGTGGCGCAAGTATGTCCTGAGCTTCTTTGCCGAGGGGGAGAGGGGGAGCTCGGGGTGGGTGATGCACGAGTACTCCGTGACGGCGCCGGCTGACCTCGCCTCGTCGCCGCTCCGGCTCTACCGCATCCGATTCAGCGGCTACGGCAAGAAGCGGAAGAGAGAGCCGGAAGACGACGGTCGAGCACATGGCGCGCCCCGGCGGGCTGAGGCGGAGACTGCTCTGTTCGATCTGGAGGTCGGGCCACCGCCACCGCCACTGCTCGTTCCTCCTCCCGCGGCGGCGGCGGCGGATCATGGCACCGATCAGAGCTCCTCCGGTGTGACCGACATGGTGTTCCGTGATCTTCCCGACCTGATCGCTGATGCTGGAGCTGCTCTGCCCGATCAGAACCAACAGGATTGGTCTGAAGTCGCCGATCAGAGCTCCTTCTGTGTGATGGGCGATGACTCTTCTCTGCTGCTCCCTGATCTTCCTGGGATGATTGATGACAATGAGCACCAGCAGTTTGTGCGCGAGTGCGACATGCCACACCTGTTCGTCCCGCAAGCAGAGGAAGCCATTGCTGGTGGTGGTGCAGCATCGGCGCCATCGGCGGACAACCAGAACTGCGAGTTCAATGACGGCGAGGACATGGCATTGTCAGATTTTGAGTTTCCGGAGAGTATTGATGAGGTGCTTAGCTACATCGACTTCAGCACGAGCGACACGAGCTGCCGCGACTTCACCATGGACGAGCTGTTCGATCTGCCGGTGGACTAGGAGAATGATAGCAAGAAATCAGCACTTAAGTAGCGTTCTGAAGAGTGAAGATAGCTGTTATATGGATGACCTTGTAGGAAGAGATTTTCAGTGGTTTGTAGACTGTAGTGCAGAGGCAAATAGTTGTGCAATGGCATGTATTTATGAGTAATTGATTAATTGATGAGTTGAATGTAATAAGCCTATGCGAAATATGTCTCTTATTAGTTGAGATTGCTGTTGATTGGTTGATTTCAGTGTAAGTAACATCGCTATAAGTAATATTTCTGTTCAATGAAAATATTCCCTATTCAATTCATTGCTCTGTCAAACTTGTTGAGTGATATACATCCAGTGAAGTTCTTCCTTTCAAGTTCAATGATGTGCTAACTCTTATTGAGTTGGAAAGACACAAATATCCCAAAACTAACAGAAACGGAGTGCAGTTGTTCATACAGAAACAGAGTACTTCTCTGTTCGATTACTTTTTAAGTAACAGGTCTGTTAGAGCCAGCAGATTGTGAACTACACAAACCAGCATGCAGTAATTCTTCAGGTTTACTGGTAATTCTTCAGGTTTACACAGCATGGATATAATCCTTAAAGAACTGACAACAGTCTCCAAAAACAAAATTTTCAGATTCACCATGAAGCAGTCAATGCTTTTAACTTAAAAGCATGGACGATTTACAATTAAACGAACATACAATGCCACTGGCACCCTGGTACTTCTCTTGCATCAAATTACACAACCATCATGCTAACAGAGCTGCAGTTCCTTTAATTTAAGTCAGGTACCACTTTACCAGGACTCATTACATCTAACATTATATGTACATTTACAGGAGACTGTACAAAATGTGCGACCTCGAGAATTTACAACAGCTTGACAGGCTCCGATGCAACAAGAGACAGCTATTCCTGCAAAACAGTTTAAACTTCAAACTGAACTCGGTAGAAAAATTTTGCGATGCCACACCATGCCATCATTTTGTGCACTCAGTAGGCTTCCTGTGGACAGGCCAACGCCAGTAAGATGTCTCATCTCCTGATATTCACTTTCGCGGAAGTGTTGGCTCTTGGATCATGTATGGCAGCCATGGCTTTACATTGTTCAGGAGTACTCAGCAGTCCCTAGTTAGTCTCATGTCTCTTGCCAGCAGTACTTGTGCCAAGGGACTTCCACCAAATTTAATCTCATCATGTTTCCCAAACTGAAGTACTACCTACAATTAAACAAACATAAAAGCAACCTGAGGTAAGAAAGTAGATGGAAGCAAAGTTATTTACTGAATATCTCAGGAAGAACATGCCACACCAATTACAGTCATAGTTTTCCAAAACTCAGTACGCGATCAAGGCTATGCTTTCAATGCAACATAAGGCCTTAAGGGTAATATATGTCAGAAGGAACTAGTCCAGAACCATTAAGGCCAGTCTCCCATGATAAGCTGAGACCTTGGAAACCTTTGCTATGTCACAAAACATTTGTGTAAAATCCTAAGGCACAGTTGGATAACTAGTTAACTACATATTAAAAATAATGTGAAACTACCTTTTAAAATCCACCTCACAGCCACACAGAACTACAGTGGCAGTGCCCATTATATACGCATTCATGATTACTCCTTTTCTGTATTCTCATGAAGGCAACAAAAAGTCCCATGACAATGAGTTGGCCTAACCTCTATCGCCACAGAACATGCCATCCCCAATTTGGTTAGGGTTCCTGGGTCAGAACCACAACAGGATAGCACCAAACCCTCAATCAAGCCCATTAGGCCATGCATTCAAGTTAACAGATACCTGATCGCACAATGCCATCAACAAGTCATACATCATAGTACTAGAGGATATATCAGCTTAAAAGCAATGATAGCCCAAACTCGTCCTCGCTAGACTTTGAGTTCCCCCACATTTTTTTTGACGCTGAGTTCCCCCACATTTCAATTCAATGAAGTACAATTTCTCATCGATCAACTCTGTGCACAAAGGAGAAAATTCAACAGTTGCATCGAGCAACAAAAACAACAGAATCAATGTTAGGGAGAACCTCTGCTGCTCTTGTTCAAGCCGCCACACTCCCACCAATCCCTGCTTCAACCTCCACGTCCTCTGCTCCAGGAGCAACGACCACTTACCATCACTGTCAAATGTAAAACCTCCCAAGTGAAGTGAGCATTATTCGCAAAACTGACTGACCACAAACTGGAGTAAAAAATATTACAACATTAGATCATGTCACCATTTTGTATACGTAATTGGTTTCCTGTGTACAAGCCAACTCCTGTAAGATGTGTTATATCCAGCAGAAGTGCTCCATCTTGTATCATATATGCATAGCAGTTCTGTCAATCCTAGCCAGATGATGACTGTTGTCCCATCATCTGTACATTGCCAGTAACACTTGTGTCAAGTGAATTTCACCAAATTTAATTTCCTCATCCTTTCCAAACTGAATTATAATCAACAATTAAACAATTATAGAAGCAAATTGAAGGTAAGATAGTAGGCAGAAACAAGCTTACATTATCTGAAGAAGCTGAGCAATCTCAGACAAAAGAGGCCAGACTCACTAGTTCAATTGAAAGATAAAATTGAGGCATTACAGCTGTGTTATCGAACACTGTTAGTACTATTAGCAATTTAGCATCAGCAGGCTCCTTAATGTTCAGGTTATCTAAACATTACCAAATCCAACTGACAGAAAAGGAATCATGCACGAGACTTTAGCAAATCCAACTGGGCAAAGGGTGATATCAATGAGCAGGAACTAGTGCCCAATCTAGCAAGATGAGTTGCTCCCATGGTAAGCTGAGTTCAAGGGAAGGAGAGGCTAGCTCTGCCTGGAGGATCATGCCAGGAGACTAGGATTATGAAACTTCTTCTGCTAGTTGCTGTGAAGTACAGTTTACGCCTATAAGGGATTCCACAGCCCCTTTTTAGTTCTCTTTTTTCCTTACCGGTCTCCTGGGGCCATACATGTCCAATTTTCCCTCCTACTTTAATATAAAGCCAACCAAGGCTGGACTCGTTTCAAAAAAAGAATACCTTCCAAAATGCTTACTACGAGTACTTGTTGTTCTTAATTAATCAAGAGCTAGGTAGACAAGTCACAAGAGCATACCCATGGCTTCTATTTCACACTAGAAGTCTCGAGTCCTATAAACATCTCAAACAAGTCCAATAGTTCAGACCTGACTTTTCTTCTGCTATGAAGCGATGCAATTTCTGATTACAAAACATTATCTAAATTATGTCAAAACAATTATCTTGATGAGGTCATGAATGCAACTATAGGCAAAATACCATATTGGACATTTAGCTAGGTTGTTCACTCTTGATGCGATTGTTCTCTAGAATCAGTTGTTGTAACTATAAAACATTTTCTTTAGTGAAACAGAAGCATACACAATGCTAAAAGCACTTAAAAGGCCTGATCAAGAAATTTTGCTGTTTATTCTACATGATCACCAAATGTAAAATCAAGGAACTTCCAAGACATTTTGCAGTTGGCTATTCTCAAAACATACTAATCTTAATATGTATAGCACCTAAGCATCACACTGATATGTTAGTGTTGTGTAGACCAATGAAGATGTATCAAACAACATTTTACATAAGATGATGAAATTGGGCACAGATTTTATCTGTTACAAGAAGGCTGACAGATGTTTATATTGAAGAGCAATGTTATTACATATATATGATGCGTCAGACATGGTCTCTCATTCTCTGTTAAAGGCTGCAGCTGATTACATGGAGGCATGGAGCTATCCTCCCTAGCTATTACGTCCCCATGTTGATAAGCCATTCATACTGTAGCAAAACAACAAGAACGAGCAATTTCTTGAAACTGATGAGTGCCCAAAACTAGACAAATCCTATAAAGACAATAAGCCCGGGTTCATCATTTAAGTGCAAAATGGATCAGCTATCAACAGCTCATGGGCACGCCTGACATTTGTAAAATAGTTCCAACTAGTACGACGAGTGAAATGGAACTCAGCATCTTTAGAAACCATATTATCCAGCTTGAGACACATTTTTTGATTTTCAATCCACTTTCTGTCGTTTCGCCTGGTTCCACACTCAAGCCTCATTAGCTCCAACACTCTCCCATTCAATACAAAGAACATGGCAAAGTCAATATGGGACTTATTGCCGCAATATCCTGACACTTCTACTTTCTTCAGATTGAGGTCAAGGCACTCAATAGGATCTAGCATCTTATGGCGCATCTTTTGGCGCCATACATTGTTGCACTTGTGACTAAATTTCTGCAAGACGAAAACGAGGCTCATCCTTGGATATCATTAAAAAGGAACGTAAAATAAGTGAACTAGAGAGTCCACAAGATGAAGACTAATTACCCTGATATACAACTTCTCCAAGGAGGGAAAGCATCTCATGAAGTCAATAGCCATATCCAGACTAAGATTATCAATATCGAGAGCTAACACCTTCACACCGCGTGCCACCGTTGTCAAGCTATCAAAGTGAAATTCCCCAATGGAGCACTGAACACAGGAGCATGGTAAGTCTACTGAAACTCCCCAAAGGTACTTGTAAGTCTACTGAATGTGTGAAGAAATAAGGTTGCAGACATATACCTTAATTGCAATGGTGCCAATCTCAAGTGTGCAGTGATTGGAAAGCCATCCCAATGCCTCCAGTTTGGGTGCTGAAATTACCGAGACCCGCAGGAGTTGCCAGACTTCAGGCATCAACAATCTTTCAAGACGAGGCGCGTCTTCAACGATCAGTTCCTTCAACGCGCGAGTGACACAAACACCGACGACTCGAATCGTGGGCGAGCTGATCGACAGACGCCTGCAGCCGCGCACGCCGCGCAACAGCAAGCAATCCAGAGCGGCGCACCCGGCGAGCACGCCGTGCAGGGTGGCCTCCGAGACGGCGACGTACTCGAGGGTTAGCTGCTCGAGGCGGGGGAAACAAAATGCGGCGGCGGCGGGATCGTCGGGGAAGGAGCACCGGGAGAAGACGGCGACGCGAAGGGTGGGGAAGAGACGGGCGGCGGACGGCGGGAGAGGGCGATAGGATCCCATGAGCTCGAGCTCCTGGAGGTTGTCGAGGGCGGGGGCGGCGAACCAGGCGTCCAAGGTGGCGCGTCTGTTGGGGAAAGACGAGCCGAGGTCCGGGACGGCGAAGCGGCGGGCGGGGCCAGGGTGGGTGGCGAGGACGCGGGAGATGTCGCCGGCGTCGCGCAGGTCGAGGTTGAGCGGAGCGGAGCGCCAGAGGTGGCGCCACCGGGAGGAGAGCAGCTGCGTGCGAGCGGCGTCGTTGGATGGGAGGCGGGTGACGATCTCGCGGAGGGCGTCGTCGGGGAGGAGGCTGATCTGGGCGGCGCCGCACGGCGGCGGCGGCGGCGGGGTCTGGTGTCCCTGCAGTTTCCTCCTCTTCCCTCGAGCTCTGGTGGTGATGCCCATGGCGGGGAGTGGAGAATGGAAATGGAGATTCCTCGGGGAGGGGAGCCGGACGGACGCGTTGCCTAAGTCTTTTACCCTGTGGCATTAAGAAAGTCACTGCTTACCCGTGTGCCACAGCAAAGTTTGGAGTCACCTATATACTATGAGCCTAACTTTCGTTGACCCATGTGCTATTCCGTCCAACTTTTGTTAGAACTTAACGGTTCCATATCTCTGACATGTGGAACCCATGTATCAAAATGACTAATTTGCCTCTGCTCTATTTTCAGCTCTATACTCTCACTCTCTCCTCTCCTGCTCTCTCCCTATTTTTGCCGCACGCCAGCCGCACCCTAACCCTAGACGCCGCCGCCTGGCCTCGCCGGAGCCGTCGCCGCCGACCCCGCCGCCGCCTAGCCTCGTCGGCGCCCCGTCGGCCCGTCGCCCCGTCGCCCCAGGCCGGCACGCCCCGTCGCGGCGCGTCCAGGCCAGCGCGCCCCGTCGCCGCGCCGCGCCCAGGCTGGCGCGGCCCTGCGCCCTCGCCCCGTCGGCCCGTCGCCCCCCTGCCTCCAAGCCGGCTCCAGTGCGGCTCCAGGTCGCCGCGCGCCCTGGCCAGCGAGCTCCTGTGACCTCGCCTTTAGGCCGGCGCACCCTGCCTCCAGGTCGCCTCCCGTGCCCACCTCGCCTCCAAGCAGCCCGTGGAAGCAGCGAAGTAAAACCTCTATTCTTTCATGTCCATTCATCACTGACATTTCACAGTGGGGGATTGTTCATCTGTAGGATGGACGCCGGATTGGACAGTGAGCCTCCTGACATTTCATAGTGGGAAATTGGGAGTGGGAGTGGGCAATCAGTTGAACTAAAGCATACTAAATCTGCAGATAGTGAATCCCTTGCTAACCCAAACCCATCCAATGAGCATGTGGGTGTTGATGATGAATGCTTGTATATTGACATTGCATCCTATGAAGTCTCTCCACAGACAGTGGACACACTAAGGAAGAAGTAAGCCGTCAAGAAGTGTACACCAAGGAGGGCTCCAATTAAAGTGGCCAACCCATCCAGCCTAGCTTCTAATACTAGAAGCAAGAAGAAACTTCAGCTTGAATAAATTATGTGGAGGAACTACTACTTTTGATGTAATTTAAGACATATATGGTTTGGTGTGATGAAAACTAGTGAACTAGTACTTTTTATGTGTGGACTTAGTGTGATGAAAACTAGTGAACTTGTTGCTATAAACTTGTTAGTTTGATATGAACTTGTTACTATGGATGAACGGTCATGTATGGTTTGATATGCACTTGTATGGTTTGATATGCACTTGTTGCTATGGTGCAATGGTTATGCATTTGTTTTGTCTATGTGATATGTCGTTATTTGTCAGTATGTAATGTTCATGCACCTGTTTTTTCCTTTTTTTAAATTTTATTTCTGATTTTTCCTTTTTTTCCACCATTTTCTATTTTTTTCCCACATTTTCCTAATTTTTCCCACATTTTCCTAATTTTTCCTGGATTTTTAAAAAATTTTAAAATTTATTCTCACTTTTTCTGATTTTTACCTTTTAAAAAAATTATTTTCCATTTTTTGATTTTTAACGCCTTTTCTAAATTATTTTTCACTTTTTTGATTTTTTTAAACCCATTATTGTATACAAGGCCAAAGCTGTCTTTACACAGCCCCTAACACATCTATTATGTCTCCATCCATCCAAAATGGCACACGGGTCAACGAAAGTTGGGCTCATGGCATACAAGTAACTCCAAATTTTTTTATGGCACACAGGTAAGCAGCAACTTTCTTAATTTCTTAACAGCATAGGGGTAAAACACTCGCGTTGCCTTCACACTACTATTCTTGAATGCACGTTGCCTTCTCGCCTTCTCGTTGATTCATTTGAGGGCCTGTTTAGGCCTTTTTTTCAGTTTGCGAAAAAAAAATTGGGTGTTACATCGGATGTTTGACCGGATGTCGGAAGAGGTTTTCGGACACGAATTAAAATACTAATTTCATGACTCGCCTGGAAACAGCGAGACGAATTTATTAAGCCTAATTAATTCGTCATTAGCACATGTGGGTTACTGTAGCACTTATGGCTAATTATGGACTAATTAAGCTCAAAAGATTCGTCTCGTGATTTCCATGCAAATTGTGCAATTAGTTTTTTTTATTTTATCTATATTTAATACTCCATGCATGTGTCCAAAGATTTGATGTGACGTTTTTGGGAAAAAAATTCGGTAACTAAACAAGGCCTTAGCTGGTGAAATGAAAATTTTTGGGTGTCACATCGGACGTTTGATCGGATATCGGAAGAGATTTTCGGACACGAATGAAAAAAATTAATTTCATAACTCGCCTAGAAACCACGACACGAATCTTTTGAGCCTAATTTAGCCGTCGTTAGTACATGTGGGTTACTGTAGCACTTATGGCTAATCATGGCCTAATTAGGTTCAAAAGATTCGTCTCGTGATTTACGTGTAAACTGTGCAATTAGTTTTTTCATCTATATTTAATGCTCCATATATATGTTCAAAGATTTGATGTGATATTTTTGGGAAAAGTTTTGGAGAACTTAGGGCCTGAGGCTATCAGCCTCAAATCAACAAATTGGCAGCGACCATGTTCGTGTACTGTTTTGTAACCAACCTAAAAATGTGAAAACCTTAAAACAAATATTTTCACCGCTTTCTAATGTATAACGCCATTGACTTTATTATTAACATTTAACCATTCACCTTACTCAAATTTTTGTGTAAATATAAAATATTTAAATCATGCTTAAAAAACATTGGAAAATATACGAATTACCCCCTAAACTATCGCAGTCGACTGAATTAACCCCTAAACCCGAAAACCAGACATCGTTCACCCTAAACTTTCAATGCCGGACGAATTACCCCCCTCGACCCAATCCAGGGCGGTTTTGTTCAACGTGGCGTACGCGTGGCACTCCAGTCAGCATTTTCTTTTTTTTAACGGTGGGCCCCACCAGTCATCTATACTCTCTCCCATCTTCTTTCTCCTCTTCCCCTCTCTCTCCCTCCCTCTAGGGTGTTCTCGCCTTCTCGGCGAGCAAGGCAGGGCGCGGCGGCGGCTGAGAGCATGGCTTGGCGAGCGGAGGCGGCTGCGGCGGCCGCTGAGGGCATGGCTCGGCGGCGAGCGGAGGCGACTGGGCGAGCGGCGCCAGCGGCGAGCGTGGCTGGGCGAGCGGCGGCAGCTGCGGGGGCGATTGGGTGAGCGGCGGCGGCTGTGGGGGTGGCTCGGCGAGCGGAGGCGGCTGCGGCGGCAGCAGCGGCTGGGCAAGCGACGCCGGCTGCGGGCGCGGCTGGGTGAGCGAGGAGGAGGGGGAGGAGGCTGACCTCACCAGGAACGGCTCGGCGGGATCGGCGGCGGCAGTAGCGCGGGCCGGCATCTACGACGGTGTCGACCCGTTCGAGGGGATGGAGTTCGACGACTTGGAGTCGTTGATGCTCACGCCGTGGTGCAAACGCAGCCGCAGTCATTGGGGGTGGACACGGCGCCGTTGACGCGGAGCTCGAGAGGGTGTTGCCGCCGCGTCCTCCCGCGCTCTGCTGCCGTCCCCTACACAAGCCTTGTCGACGTTGACGCCGAGCTCGAGAGGGCGCCGCTCGCCGCTGACGCCTCCCCCGCGCCACCATCCACCGCGCGTCCCCACGTGACGCCGCCACCGCCCGTCCACAGCCGCGTGCCCGAGCCCGTCCGCAGCCGCCTGTTCGAGAGAGAGAGGACGCTTAGGAGAGAGAGGGAAGAGATATGACAAGTGGGCTCAAGGAGTATTTTTGCTGATTGGATTGCCACGTTAGCGCCACGTGTGCAAGCACAAGCCAAAATCGCTTAGAATAGTGTCGGGGGGAGGGGTAATTCGTCTAATATTAAAAGTTCAGGATGAGCAATGTCTGGTTTTCAGGTTCATGGGGGTAATTCGGTCAACCATAATAGTTCAGGGGGTAATTCATACTTTTTCCAAAAATATTTGATGATAAATCAAATCATAATAAAATAAATATATTTTTAATAAGACGAATAATCAAAGTATCTAAAAAAAATCAACGACGTCATACTTAAAAAATGGATGAAGTATAATACTTCCTCTGCCATATAATAAAAGTCAATCTAATACTGAATATACCACATCTTATCTTAGTACTATGAAGATCCCCATCCTCGTCGTGTAGTTCATTCATCGCCTTGTTGACCACCGGCTTCTTGATCTCGTCTAGCGACTCCATCTTTGTCTAGATCGCATTGTTCTAGGCATGGATCTCGGCCAGTGTCTTGCTCAGATCAGCAATATGTTGATCCATCTTGGTAGCCTTGAGTTGAGCTCGCGAATGGTACTACGGCTTGTCGTAGGTCTCTAGGTCGATCGTGTGCTTTGATACCAGATGTTACGTTCCCGATCTAGACAAGGGGATTGGGAAGAGAGAAAAGATTTGAGGAAGAAGAAAAAGCTGGGGGTAGGCAGATGAACTTGTTTGGGGAAGAAGATAGAGCTGTATTCAGGTTATACAACCTTGATACCCCTATCCATCACACACCTACTTACTTAAGTACTCCCCTAACACAACGCGGTCACGAGCCGGATACTTGGTGCTGGGCTTCCTTTGTTGCATGGGTCGCTGGTGAGTGTTGGTATAGCAGCAGTGGACGCGACAGTGGGGGTAGAAAAGGGTGATGCCATGGAAGCCGCCATCGTCGATGTGGTCTCCACGCCGGGTTCAACAGAGATGTAGTGTGGTGGACGAGGGATTGGGAAGAGGGCAGCGGCGAGAAGGAAGGGGCTACTACAAAACAAGTCTTTCCTGTCGGCTAAAACTGGTTTTTGCACCGCCAGCAAAAATAGATTTTCACTGGCGGGCCGCCAGTGAAAAAACGATTTTCTCCGCGGATGCTAAGAAGACCCGCCAGTGAACATATTTTTGGGAGCCAAAAAAAAAGAGAAAATCTGGATCCAAATCCCTAATCACAGTCCCCTAAATCCCTAATCACAGTTCCCCAAATGCAGAGCACTGATAGTCCCCAAATCCCTATTCACAATACGCTATCACAATCCCCAAGTCACCACGGACGCTGACGTCGTCCCTTGCCCACCGTCGCCCGGCCAGATAAAGCTCGAGCCAGTCCTTGTCGACATAGTACTCGGGTCCACGGAGGAGACGATGGAGTGGATTTTGCTCATGATCCCTTATTGTTCCATTGCTTTGCTTTTAACCACCTCCTTGCTCATATGTATAGACAGATTGGTTAACAAAGTTGGGGCCATAGGAAGAGGGTTGGGAGAGGACAGGTGAATTATCTGTGGTCCCACTTGTCAGACTAATGGTGATGGCGGACTCACATCTATTATTATTGTTTTTTCTTTAAGATTGTATAGAGATGATCGTGTGAAATACTTGGATTTTATCTTGGGGTAAACATGGCAGACGAGGCAGCTGCAACGACAAACCCAATGGTAGGATTACAAGTTTAACAGCTGCAATCAAGATGGTGCAACATAAAGTACATAAGCAGGCCCTACAGACTCGAGACTTCCACACGACATTTTTTTTCTGAGGGTTCCACACGACAATTCGATTTCAAAAGAGCATTTCTGATTCACCATGCAATGCTTATGAGCATGCCCCATCCTTACTGAATTAATGACTGGAGTGATTTCATGCAACAAAGGAAGAGCATTTTGACCTGAATGGGGCATATGAAAAGAGCTCAGAGAATATAGAAATATTTTCAGGCCACATCCTTTTACACATAACCCAAGTATCCAACCAACTGGCTAGCAGCTATGATACAAAGTTGCAGCAACTCTAAATAATGTCAGATGACATATGCTGACAAGTACACACCTAACACTATATTTACACAAGACAGTACAAAATGAGAGAGAGATATAGCATCTTCAAGAATTTACAATGATCTTACAGGCCCCAATACAACAAGACACAAGGATCCGACCAAGTATATTAATGATTGTGCCCAAAGATCATTTCTAAAAGCTGATTAACTGGCATTTGAAGAGAGTAGCAAAACATTATGGAGTACAATACTACACCACATCACCATTTTATAAACTCAGTACGCTTCCTGTGTACAGACCAACTTCAGAAAGACGTCTCATCTCCACTTCTGCAAAAGTGCTGGTTCTTGGATCATATATGAGTAGCAGTCCGGTCGATCCTAGCCATACGACTATCCTCCCATCATCCAATACCAGCAGTGGCTTTACCTTGCACTCCCTAACAGGAACGAATGATTCAATTTGAATGCTATATTGTTTAATCCAGGTGCGGGTCTCATAGTCTATTAAATACCACAGGTCTATGGTCGAGGATCGGTAACTCTGGTGGTATACTAGAACTAAGTAGCCTTTCAGCTCAGCCAAACTAAGCTGATCCCAAATTGCTATATACTCATCTGGGAAGTCCATGTCATATACAAAGTTCCTGCTAATTGGTCCCTGGATATCTTCCCTCCATTCCTCCACCTCAAGGTCAAAAGAACAGATGAAGTCTGGATGAATGCCGGCACCATCACCACCAATTATCATTGAATCATATACACTGTCTATCAAGAAATACACCACCCCATTAACCACGACACCGCTGTTTGCCTTTTGACATTCAACAAAGAACTCACGGCTCTGTTTTCCCCTCCAACGTGCCTGGCCTGTGCCACCCTTGACGGTGATGACCTCACAAAGCTGTGGTATCCCAAGGTCCGTAAATCCAGGACGGTTGAACATCCGGAGCACCTTGTACTCTCCTGTTGAGGCAACATGCCCAAATGCAAATGAGGTGAAAGGCTTGCGCAGATTGACATGGTACGTGTGCTCCTCTGCTGGACTCTTTGGCAAGTTGTAGACATCTCCAGTGACAGGATTAAGAACATGGCAGCTGTTCTTATTTGTGGCTACACAAACCAGATCGAGGCGTGTGCATAACACCTTGTGGCCAGCTGGTATGCCTATCTGCTTAATCACATTGCCTGCAAAATCCATGATATGGATGTGCGTCTCGTCATCCTTAAAGCTGGCCAAGAAGAACGTCTCTCGGTGGTGAGCCACGTGTGTCTTCATGAAAAGGGGATCAGATGTCAGCGACCGCCAGGGCCGGCAGACGATGCGGAGGCGGCAGAGCTCCTTGGCCGGGAGCCGCACCAGGACGTCGAACAGCACCTCCAGGGGGAGAATGCCAGAGTTGGAGGAAGCAGGCATACGCCGTACTCGCTCGGTCAACTGGGAAGAACGCCCTGTGTCCATATCTGAACTTCTGAAGCCTACAAGCATTCAGTACTATTTAGCATCAGGAGAGGAGATCATGTTTGTACGGCCAACTCGAACTGTAATATACTACAGTAAGTAGTAAGTAAAATCATTTTTTCTGTTGGTTTTGTTTGAGACCGTTGAAAGATCGATCTTATGCCAATGCCACACAGCCGATGTAACTTTGATCGTTTGCCATTAATAACAAGAAGCTATTTATCTAAAAGTTCATGATCGGAAAACTATCAATTTTGCAATTTATACTGCTACTCTAATAGTACAAAGACACTAAAGCACAGTAGAATCTAAAGTCACAACACGGTCATGCATTCGCTAGATGATTACATCGATGTATAATACGCAGTAGAACATCATTACCAGACAAAATTTCCTGCGACCAAGAAACATAGGGTTAGAGCTCACCAGGTCGAGCCGGCTGCGATGGGTGGACGGCGGCCGCTCCCGCCGCCGACAGGTCGAACCGAGCTGGATTCCCCCGGTGGGGTCCCTCCCCTCGAGCCTCTCCGCCGGCTCAGTCGAGGGCGATCGGAGACGGCGCCGCCGGAGCCCGGAGGGGATGGGGATCGGGGAGTGGGGATGGATTGCTTCGTGTTCGTGGCTTCGTGCTACGTTTATATGGGCTTTTATGGGCTGGGCCCAAACGCACAAGATATATGGGCTGGGATTTTCATTATGTGGGCTTAAATGGGCTCGGCTTGTCAGTAGTGGCCTCCGGCCCAGGATATCTCCTTCCAGGCTTCGTTCTCAGACGAGAAATCGGACATTCTGCCACTGCCAAGAGTGGGTTTCGCCACAATGCCATTTCACGGAATGGAGTGGTTAAAATGCCACCCACAAGAGATGCCAAATATTTGTTTTGCCATTTGGGCCAATTATTACCATTTCCACCTAATTTTGCACCCGGTCTGACCAAAATGCCCTTAAGTCGGTTATACCAAACTGAGTTGGTTGAGTCATTCCGACGTCGGCGTCGGGATGCGGCCGTGGTGCGCTGCGCAGATAATGGGGAGAACGATGCGGGCGTGGAGCGGGTGGGTGACGACGACAAGGTTCTTCGGGCGCGTGGCAGCCTTCCCGCTCGCGTCGTGGTGACGGCGTCGGCAAGGTAGGTTGGAGCATCGAGATCGTCATGCTCAAGTGTTTTTCCGCTTTGATTTGCTTTGCTGAGTTCGTTTGAAACCGATGTGTGTGCTTGCGCGTGCGTGCGCTGTGTTTGCAGGTCTTGAAGCGGAGGGGCACCATCCTGCCCGTCGGCCGTTACGGCTCCGGTGGTGACGCGGCGAGAGTGCGCAGGGCGACCGCACCGGCGCCGGCGCCGACACAGGACGCCGCCTCCAGCAAGAACGGAGCGCTTCTCAGCTGCGGCGACGACGACACACCTGTCTCACGGAACGGATCGGTCGTTACCAGCATAGACAAACCTGCCACCGCCGCCGCCTCCACGCCGCTTGTGACCATACCGAAGCTTCCAGCGCCGGACTCCCTCGTGATCCTTCCATCCGTAGACAGGCCGCAGCCAGAATTCATCATCCCAGACGCGGCGTATCTAGGAGCTCCAGCGCCGCCGCTCTCCTCTCCTTGCCGGTGGCCGCGAGTAGCGTCGACAGGGGCACGGCAGTGGCAAGGCTGTCACGCTGCGTGGCTATCTCCCGTCGCGCCGCTCTCCTCCTCCTTGTCGGCTGCCGTCGCTCTCCTCCTCCTCGTCGGCGGCCGTTGGGCTAGGAGCTCCTGCGGGGTCTTCGCCATCGGATTTTTCTAGAGCGGGGGCAGTGAGGTTACCGACCCTTGCGTCGACGCAAAAGGAGGCAGGCGGCGGCGAGCACCCGGACGGCGACAGTCACTCGGAGGGGTATTTTGGGAAGGCGAAGTGTGAAAAATGATGAAAATCCTGTGAAATGGTGAATATGGCAAAGCAGCGGTTTGGTATTGGTTTAAAGTGGCATTTTAACGACTCCATTTCGTGGAATGGCATTACGCCGAAACCCACTCTTGGAAGTGTCAGAATGTCCGATTTCTCTTCTCAGACACATCCCGGCGAGAGACGAGAGACGGCGCCACCGCCGCCGCCGCCGCCGCCGTGCTGGACTCCGGCTGGCCACCGCGCTCCGCTCGAGGTAAACCCTTCTCCTTGATGGCAGAGAACTCGTCCTTCTTCTCGCACTGATTGGTTCAAGTTTTCATCCGGTTTTGACCCCCAATCCAGGCGTCCGCGATGGCGTCCCCAGAGCCGTGCGCCGCCGCCGCCGCACCGGGAAGCGGGTTCGGAGCCGTGGACGGCGTCCTGCCCCCGGAGCTGCTGCTCGAGGTCCTGCTGCGCCTCCCCGCCAAGCCGATCTGCCGCCTCCGCGCCGTCTGCCGCTCGTGGCTGTCCTTCACCACGGACCGGCTCTTCCTCGCCGCCTACGCCGCCGTCCACCCTCACCCGCTCCTCGCCGTCTTGGTTGACAGCTTCCCCAGTCGATGCTGCGTTGATCTCGTGGACCTGTCCGGCAACGTCGTCGAGGAGATCCTCGGCGTGGGCGGCGAGTGCAGGGTGCTGACGGCGAGCTACGACCGTGTCCTCGTCGCCGGGGAGCACCACCGCGTCAGCGTGCTCGACCCCGCCACAGGATCCGTCTCCGCCTTGCCCTTCGGCATTGCAGAGGATATGGTGCGTCGCAACGGGATGAGGCCAGCCTGGTTTGCATTTGGTCAGACGAATTCCACAGGAGAGTACAAACTACTCCGGATTCTAGAGGACTTGGAGGATGGATATGAGGCTGATCCAGTGTGTGAGGTTTTCGCAATCGGCGACATGAATGGACGGTGGAGGAAGATGGAGAGTCCACCGGGGTATCTTGATCCGAGCTGCACCAATGGAGTTGTCTTCGAAGGGGCTGCTTACTTCTTCTTGGATCACTGGCAAATGGATCCCTCCTACTATTTTGCTACGGGCTGCATACCTTCCTTCGACCTTGCGACGGAGCAGTGGAGCACGGCTCTCCAAGGGCCAGTAAACAGAATTCTTGAGGAAGCGAATGGCACACTCAACTATGCTGACCTTACCGATCGTCTTATGTTAGCCCAACTTGAAGGAACTTTGTGTACAGCACATTTCAATGATCAAATTTCTGCGGTGGACTTATGGTTTCTAGTTGATTTTGAGAATGGTATGTGGTCCAAAGAATATAGGATAAATGTTGAATTTGCTTTTGATGGTTTTGGAGATGGTGTGCAACCTTTGCTTGTGACGGATGAGGGAAATGTGGTACTTTGGGTGCAGATAGGATCAAAAGGGATGGTCTGGATTTATAATCCAGTAACCAACACTTCCTCAGAGATAGTTCAGACAAAGGCTAGTATCTTTACTGGAGTAGGTGTATATACTGGAAATCAATTATGTCCACAGAGTATGTGACAAGGTAAAGTTTGGTTTCGTATCATCACATAATTGGTATTCATGCCGTGATTTGATAAACAGCATCATTTTGTCATTTACTTATCTGTCACAAATGCAGTTCTACAAATTTCATTGCAAATTCATCTTCTACTTGTATCTTTTATGCTAAAAGCTTCCATATGCTCATCGAAATAAGATGATATCCAACTGAAATTAGGAAATGGGCCTATATAGTTTGATTATTTGTTTCAGGAATATAAGGACTTCAATCGTTACTCAAACACTTAAAATCATATACTCTATTAATTTAGATGTATTGTAAATTGGTAATTTTGCATTGCTGGCAATTGGCAATTCTTGCTAAACTTGGTGTTTAAGGAGGGTCTTTTTAATTTGAATGAGCACATATCTTCTCGACATGTTGATAAAAAAAATAATGGGAGGGCCTTTTGTGTGGATTTGCATTTGAATATAAAGGTGCATAATAGTTCTATCAAGTTTTTTTCATAGTAAATTTTGCATTTGAAATGGAATAAGAACCATAGTAATTTTCGGCCTACTATTTTAGCAAACTGTTTGCTGGTTATTGTGGTTATGTTTTTGTGTTCAATGAAGTTAATTGCCAAATCTCTCCTGAATGCGTTGTACAAAATAATTTTCTTCCTGCAGAAATGGAAGAAGTGCCAAAAGAAGAGGAGCAAAACCGATGTCAGGACTGGTGTGATTGCATACTGGAGAATTTGAGGCCGCTCCTGAAAACTATAACACTCTTGGACAGGCTACTGTCGTGCAAGCTACTGGGGTGTTATTTTTCTTGGTTCTGCAGATGGTTCAGTTATGCAGCTAGTGAATAGTTTTTGGACCTGTGGGTTGTTCCATGGTATTTTCTACCTAAAACTGGAATCCACAGTATGCTGCTTTTAATTATTGTTTGTGAATCTCTAAAGAAATCCCTGTCCCCGTGTTGGCTTTCTTTCAAAGACGGATCATAATGATATCGGTTCCAAAAAAATGTTTTCGGTTCATAAAACCATGGTTTTTTTTTTCATTACTTAATCTCCTATAGTGACCATGAAATTCTGGAAACTCGCAAATTGATGCATGCCTGCACCAGATAGTGAGCATGACAAATAGAACGGTACTATGATACTCCCTCCGTTTCAAAATGTTTGACACTGTTCATTTTTTAGCACATATTTGACCGTTTGCGTTATTAAAAAAATTTATGAAATATGTAAAACTATATGTGTACATGAAAGTATATTTAACAATGAATCAAATGATATGAAAAAAATAAATAATTACTTAAATTTTTTGAATAAGACGAATGGTCAAACACGTACTAAAAAGTGAACGGTGTCAAATATTTTGAAACGAAGGGAAACGGAGGGAGTATATGATATATGATAACTGCAGTCGATTGTATGCACATGCTGACATTCGTAGGCGTGTCTGTTTATCAGATCAACTTTTTTGCCCTGTGGATGGGACGGTGTATGTTCTTTCTTTGTTCACGTATGTCTTTTTTTTCCTTGTGTAAAACCAAAAAAAAAAGGTTGTGTCTTACAATTGAATTAAGGATCTTTTCTAATATGAAATCGAAATTAGGCCAATAGCAAGGCTGTAATCTTGAAACAAATCGGCTGCATGCATGTCTACTACTAGAAACCTATCCAGGTTCAGCATGTTTGTTCTAGGCGACGCTTTCCATTGGACACGGTGAGCAATGAAATTAACGACATATATATATAACTGAAAAGTAAAAGGGGCCACAGTAGGAAAATAGAGAGCAAGTTTAATAGTATAGCCCACTGTTAGCTCCAATTTATCTATAGCCAATCTAATAGCCAATTCATACAATAATTGCTTATTATACTATTAGTATATGGTCTCATCTGTCATACACACATTACGTCTTGGAGTTCGTGCTGCAGCTGGCTACAGATCTGTAGTCCGCTGCTCTTCTCTCTCATCTTTTATCTCATTAAAATATGTTTGTAGCTGGCTAATAGTCTGCTATTGTACCTGCTCTCAGTGATTAACTTTAACTAAAGGTCTATAAAATACTACGCATACAAACTAAGATTAATGGCATGATTTAAATGTAGCTACTGCCATAAATAAAAACACCCTTAAGACGGGGAAGTCACTAGTTGCGCAGACGCATCAGGCTTCCCGTGTACACGCCGACATGGACGGCACCCGCCATAGCCGCCACCTCCGTTTGGCCGCCGGTGGCCGGGTCGTACACCAGCATGACGCCGCCGGCATCGGCGTGTGAAAACGTGGTGTCCCACACCCAGAAGACGACCCTCCCGTCGTCGAGCACCACCACCGCTTCCGCGCTCTCCCCGTCGTCCTGTGCCACCACCAAGGAGCCCCTAAGTGCGGCCAGGGTGACGTAGAGGCGCGCGTCTCTGGTCGTCGTCGTCACCGGCGGGCCACCGACGAGGTCGGGGCTCGAGGTCGAACGCCACAATCCAGTCCTCCTCACCGCCCACTATGCCAGAACCCTACATCTGTGACGGCATACCAGTGACGGGCCTATGAATTGGTCACAGATAACCGTCACAGGTAGGTCAATACCTTTGACGGGCAACTCAATTGAAGCCCATCAAAGGTATGACCAACACCTTTGACGGGCTTTTTTAATCTAACCCGTTTGAGGTGTGTTGGGTCTATAAATACCCCCCAAACCGCCAACTGCTTTCCATCCCGATCGGTTCACTGTTCACAAATCGGTTGGGAGGGCAAGGGGGGTGATTTTTTTTTCTAAAATTCAAGGTAAAAAACACATTATTCTCCATTCCTTCTCAGTATATCGATCATCATATATTTTTCTTCGTATGTTGTTGATTTCAGATGGATCGTAGATGGATGTACTATGCGCATCATTCGTCTACCGAGTATAGAGAGGGGGTAACTGAATTTGTCACATTTGCGGATAATGACAGAAAAAGTAGGATGAGCATGCACATGTTGTGTCCATGTAGGGACTGTAAGAATGAACAGATGATCGAAGATAGCGATGAAGTGCATGCTCATTTGATAATGAATGGATTCATGAAGAAATATACCTACTGGACCAAGCATGGAGAGCAAGAGGCGCCTGATGTCGCAGTGGAAGAAGTGTTGGATCAGGATGTAGAGAACACCGCCGGCGCCGCAGCTCAAGAAGGCATGTTCGTACCTTCTCCTTTAGGTAGAGAGACCATAGATTTAGACACTTAATGTCTATCTACAATGTTGCATGACATTGAAGACGCAGAGGACAACGACAGAGATTTTGAGAAGTTTAGTAAGTTGGTGGAAGATTGTCAGATGCCCTTGTATGATGGATGCAAGTCGAAGCACATCAAGTTGTCATGCGTGTTGGAACTCATGAAGCTTAAGGCTAGTAATAGCTGGTCGGACAAGAGTTTTACAGAACTTCTTGAGCTGTTAAAGGACCTGTTGCCAGAGGGGAACAATTTACCGCAGACGACATATGAAGCGAAGCAAGTATTATGTCCGTTGGGCCTGGACGTCAGAAGAATTCATGCATGTCCGAATGACTGCATTTTGTATTACAAGGAATATGCTGACTTGGATGTCTGCCCTGTCTGTGGGGCATCAAGATACAAACGAGCAAAGAGTGAAGGTGAAGGAAGTAAGTCAAAGAGGGGAGGCCCAACAAAGGTGGTGTGGTATCTCCCAATTGCGGAGCGCATGAAGAGAATGTTTGCGAATAAGGAACAAGCTAAGCTAGTGTGCTGGCATGCCGAAGAACGGAAAGTCGATAGTATGCTGACGCACCCAGCAGATTCAGTACAGTGGAGGACAATCGATAGGATTTACCAGGAATTTTCAAATGACCCAAGAAACATGCGTTTCGCAATGTGTATGGACGGCATTAATCCATTTGGTGATTTGAGCAGTCGTCACAGTATATGGCCAGTTCTGCTTGTTAACTATAACCTTCCTCCCTGGTTGTGCTTCAAAAGAAAGTATATTATGCTTGCCATGCTCATTCAAGGACCGAGACAACCTGGCAACGATATCGATGTGTTCCTTGAACCGATAATCGATGACTTTGAAAGGCTATGGAATGAGGGCACACGGACATGGGACGCATATGCACAAGAGTATTTCAACCTCCATGCGATGTTGTTTTGTACCATCAACGATTATCCGGCCCTTGGCAACCTTTCTGGCCAAACTGTGAAAGGGAAATGGACATGTTCGGAGTGTATGAAGGAAACAAGAAGCAAATGGTTGAAGCATTCACACAAGACGGTCTACATGGGTCACAGGAGATTTCTCCCAAGGTATCACCCGTATAGGAATATGAAAAAGAATTTCAATGGACACAGAGATACAGCCGGACCCTCGGCAGAGCTAACAGGGACAGAGGTGCACAACTTGGTGATGGGAATAACCAACGAGTTTGGAAAAAAAAAGGAAAGTTGGAAAGACAAAAGAGAAGAGCACGTCGAAGGAAAAAATAGAGGAGCATGTGGAAAAACAAAAGACAAAAGAGAGGAGCATGTGGAAAAAGAAGTCAATATTTTGGAGACTACCATACTGGAAGGATCTTGAAGTTCGCCACTACATAGATTTGATGCATGTCGAGAAGAATGTATGCGAGAGTTTAATGGGATTACTGCTTAACCCAGGTACTAAAAAGGATGGTCTCAACGCCCGACGAGATCTGGAAGAAATGGGTGTTCGCTCGGAACTACATCCCATAACCACGGAATCCGGCAGGGTTTACCTTCCTCCAGCCTGCTACACTCTCTCGAAAGAAGAGAAGATTGATTTGCTAACATGTTTGAGTGGTATAAAGGTTCCATCTGGTTACTCATCAAGAATCAGTAGGCTCGTTTCACTGCAAGATCTTAAGTTGGTAGGAATGAAGTCGCATGATTGCCACGTTCTTATCAGACAGCTGTTGCCCGTTGCACTAAGGAATATTTTGCCTCCTAAGGTGCGACACACGATCCAGCGGTTGTGTTCCTTCTTCCATGCAATCGGCCAGAAGATCATTGATCCCGAGGGACTAGATGAACTACAGGCAGAACTTGTGAGAACCCTATGTCATCTTGAGATGTACTTTCCTCCAACTTTCTTTGACATAATGGAACATCTTCCCGTGCACCTTGTGAGGCAAACAAAGTGCTGTGGTCCAGCATTTATGACGCAGATGTATCCTTGCGAAAGGTACCTGGGGATCCTTAAGGGTTATGTACGGAACCGTTCACACCCCGAGGGGAGTATCATCGAGAGTTACACCACCGAAGAGGTCATCGATTTTTGTGTGGACTATAGGTCAGAAACTTCTTCAATTGGATTACCACGATCTCATCACGAAGGGAGGCTTGATGGTGTTGGTACTGTTGGAAGAAAGACTGTTAGGTTGGATCGGAAGGTGTACGATAAAGCTCATTTCACGGTACTGCAGCATATGACTGATGTGGTGTCGTACGTTGACGAACACCTTACAGTTCTCCGACAGGAGAACCCAGGCCGATAAGAGAGTTGGGTCAGAAATAAGCACATGTCTTCTTTCAATGAGTGGCTGAAGAACCGAATTGCCAGGTTGCAGAACTTGTCTAGTGAAACACTTTAGTGGTTGTCATAGGGTCCTGAATGGAGTGCCACCACCTGGCAAGGATATGACATAAATGGATACACCTTTCACACGGTAAAGCAAGACAGCAAATGCACAGTGCAGAACAGTGGGTTACGCATCGAGGCTGCTAGTGACGGTGGTCGTCGTGATCAATACTATGGTAGAGTTGAGCAAATATTGGAGCTAGATTACTTGAAGTTCAAAGTCCCGTTGTTTCGTTGTTGATGGGTCGATGTTCGCAATGTAAAAGTTGACAATGAAGGTTTCACCACTGTCAACTTGGCTAACAACGCGTACAAGGATGAACCGTTCGTTCTCGCCAAATAAGTTGTTCAAGTGTTCTACATAGTTGACCCGTGTAACAAGAAACTACATGTTGTTCGTGAAGGGAAAAGGAGAATTGTTGGATTGGAC